TGGGAACAGTCTGCCAGAACATTGAGATGCTGGCTCTGCGTCTCATGCTCTGAGTTCTAGAATCATCTACCACCTCCGTGTCCAGGCACAGAGACAGCACAAATGTTCAATGAAAAATGAATAATTTTTAAAAAATATTGTGATGTATATATACTATATAACTATAAGAAAAGATGAAATATTACAGTTTATTGCAACCCGGATGGAACCGGAGGGCAATGTGTTAAATGAAATAAGTCCGAGGGAGGTGAAGAAATGCTTCATCTCAGCTGTGGTATGGCGATGCAGCCAGGAAAGAGCCAGTATGGGGCAATGACAAACTCTTGGCCTTGGGTCATAAACCCAATTGCCAGATAATGGAGGTAATAATGAGGTGGACTAGAGATGACACTGGGACAGTTGTGGAAGGTCTGGGGTAGTTTGGTGGTGGTGAGGTGTGCTTACTTTGTGCACCAATACCATAAACTTGAACACAATTGCAGCCTTGTGATCTAAACTGTGATAGCTTAATATGTATGTTAGAACATACATATTACAAATACGTAAGTCCATAAGCCAAAAAAGCTGGGTCAGAAGCCAAATCAGACACAAGCCAAGGGCCCATGAAGACAAAATAGACAAGCCATGATGTCCGTCATAAGCCAAGGACAGACCACACATCCTATGGAGGCCCTGTTACCAGCCCAGGTGGGTAGGAGCTATACTGCCCATGCTTATCTGTGTGATGTTCCCATAACAACAAAATCACCTAATAATGATGCATGATTGAGCTATTTTCTTTCTTTTTTCTGTTTGCTGATGACTATCTTTATTGACCACAGGTAATAGCTCTCTTTTACCTGTTTGACCTGCTTTTCTGTATAAAGGTAGCAATTCCACACCAGGAAGACTGGGCAGACCTGCCCCCCTCTCTCTTTCCTTTCTCCCTTCTCTCCCCACTGTTTTGTTAATTCTCTTGCAAAAGTGCTACCCACTCGTTATGATGAATAAAGATAAGCAACAGGAAGTCAAGTTTTCTCTTGGCTGGTCCATATTTTCCAACAGCCAAAAGATTCTGCAGCCCCGAGACTCAAAGTAGGGGTTGCCATTCATGTTTTGGGGCATACATTGGGCATGCTTTTGGTACGATTTTCGTTTCTATTCTTGACGCCTGATTTATATATTCCTTTCCACACCCTACCTCAAATGAGCTCTTTTTTGTACAGGCAGTTTTCTGCAAACATGTCTCAATGGGCCAGTACCAGCCCATCCTGCTGCACCAGGCTCTGACTCATGGAATCAGTGGGGAGGAGGGGGGAGGGGGCTGTCCATAGAGTGCCGGGGGGCTTCCTCAGAGCTAAACACAGGTTCATTCCAGGAAGCTCCTGTCCACCCCCCAGCACCTGAATGGAAAGGACAGTGATTCTTCCCTAAGTGTCTGCGGACCCTTCACACCAGTTTTTGCTCAGTTGCCCAAAATCTTCTTGAGGGCCAAAGGGATAGCAAAGAAGTTACCACACTTGCCTGCACACATCAGATCTGGATTTCATTCCTGATATGTAGCCCCCCAAACTCAGATATGATCCCTGAGCAGAGTCAGGAGGAATAGACCCAAGAACCACTGGGTATGGTTCCCAAGCCAAAAGAACGAAATAAATAGTCTTCTCGGGCAACTTGCTTTCCTGCCCGTACAGCTCGGCTGGAAACTAGTTGTACTGTAACCCGGAGTCCTAAGTTCGTGGGGAGGGTCCCGCAAACAAAATAAAAATAACAATGAATTCATTCCTAAAGCTCCACCGACAATACCCATGTGCAGGAAAGACGGGGAGTCCTCTCCCTCACCCCTCCCCAGCATTGTGGGGTTAGTGGCCCCAGCGGAGGCTCTTGCATCTCTGAACGTTCCACAGGGTTAGTGGCCCCAGCGGAGGCTCTTGCATGGTCTCACCTAGAGCCACAGACACAGATGTTAACAGACCAACTAGATTGGGGGAAAGGGAGGAGTTTGCAGTAAAAGTTCCACTGTAAGACGTTTCGCATCTGGAGCTCCAAGGTGAGCTTTGGGAGTAGAGCTTGTTCAACCTTCGTTGAACGCCGCCTGGTTTGAGAATAGAGCTTGTGACTTAGTCATTTTAAGTTTTGAGTGTGCCTCTTCCTCCAGGAAGCACTGTAGCACTGTCGTCCCATCTCGCTGCTCATCAATTTGCTTGAGTGGGAACGTCTCCATTCCCTGTCACGTGCTAGTGTAGCACAATGGCATCTGCTCACTCCAGGAACACAAAGTGAGATTTGTTGTTACTGTTTTTCGCATATCGAATACACCACAGATAGCTTGTCAGGCTCTGCCATGCAGGCAGGATACTCTTGGTAGTTTGCCGGGCTCTCTGAGAGGAACAAAGGAATCAAACCCGGGTAAGCCGTGTGCAAGGCAAATGCCCTACCTGTTGTGCTACCGCTCCAGCCCAGCGATGTTCAGGGGTTACTCCTGGCTCTGCACTCAGGAATTACTCCTGGCGGTGCTTGGGGGACTATATGGAATGCCAGGGAATGAACCCAGGTTGGCTGTTTGCAAGGCAAATGCCCTACCCACTGTATTTTTGCTTTAGTCCCACCTCCAGGAAGAAAGCCAGGAATATTCCACGAGCAATCCTAGCCACAGAGAGCTTAGTCGGAGCCATCGTCTCCTTCCCTGGAAGGAACCTGGAGGGAAAGCAGGCCGACTCTGGGCCGGGGCAACCCTACTGCCCACTAGCTCCATCCTTTCCCAGAAACGCTGACAACAGACTCAGGGAGGGATGGCATCTTGATCATTTCCCAGCAAGTACCTCGAAGCTTTGCCCCGACTTGGTCAAGTGGAGGCAGCCAGCCCACTTGGTTTATTCTCCTGACCTGTTTGTTTGGGGGGCCCACCCACCAGTGCTCAGGGCTTACTCCTGTCTCTGTGCTCAGGGATCATTCCTGGCAGTGCGCCAAGGACCATGTGCAGTGGTAGGGATTGAACACAGGTTGACTGCGTGCAAGGCAAGCACCTTAATCCCTGTAGTATCTCCAGCCCAAGATTTCCAGTGCATTAAGGAAAAAGAGTGCTGGTTCTATCTTGAGCCACACCTGGTGGTGGTCAGGGGCTATACCTGGCTCTGAGCTCAGGAACCACTTCTGGTTGTGCTCAGGGACCATACAGCAATACCAGGGTTTGATTGGGGTTGTACCAATCACAGCCTCATGCTAGGCACGTGCCTTCATGTTTTTATTCTCTGGTGCCCACGGTGTTCATTTTTTTTTTAAATGGATGATCTCACTGATCTGTGGTATATAGAATAACTGGATGAGGGAATGCAAGTTATTAAATAGGGGCATAACTCAATTGACCCTTGATCCCAGAATATAGGAAAGAGAAGAACAAAGAAGGAAAGGAATCCAGGTGCATAGCTAGAAGAGGTGAACAGTAAGTAATGGGGTACAGGGCTTGGGCTTCGGGTACCCTGGTAGTGTAGAGGGGTGGTAGAGTTTGATATCCAAACCACAGTCAACAGCACTGAAAGCAGGAAATCCAATCCAGAATAACCAGACTTCAGAATGTGTTCATCAGGGAATCTGTCTTGCATGCAGCCACAGGGGTTTAATCCCCGAAACCCTAAACCCTATTTGGTCCCCCAACCACTGTTAGAGCCAGGAGTAAGGCTTGAGCACTGACAAGTGTGGTTCAAAAACAGAAGAAAGGGGGGAAGGAGAGAGAGAGGCAGAGACAGAGAGACAGAGAGAGAAAGGGAGAGAGAGGGAGGGAGGAAGGGGGAAGGAAGGAGGAAGAGAGGGAAGGAAGGAAGGAAGGAAGGAAGGAAGGAAGGAAGGAAGGAAGGAAGGGAGGGACGGAGGGAGGGAGGGAGGGAGGGAGGAAGAGAGGGAGGAAAGAAGGGAGGAAGGAAGGGAGGGAGGGAAAGGGAAGGTCAGGGAGGCAGTTTGGGGATGCTGGGGTGGAGGGAACCTGGGTAGCTGGTGGGGGAAGTTGACACTGGTGTGACTGGTGCTGGGACACATTAAGCCTAAAACAATTATAAATGACTTTGTAAATTACAGTGTCTTAGTTAAAAAACAAAACCAATCAATTAAAACCTTTCTGAAAAAGGAAGAAGCTGGTAACTATCATGAATACTCGGCTGGTCCGTGGTGCTTTAACGAGTGACCAGAAGACTGATTTTTGGGTTTGCATTTTGAGTCACACCAGTGGTGCTCTGCTGCTGCTGGGTGCTGGGGAGGGGAGGGGACCAGGCAGTGTGGGGCTGTAGGCGGCCTCCTGGAGCATAACCTGAGCTCAGCCTACTAGAGCCACCCTCCTGGCACAAAGCTAAACTGTCCTTGCAGCCTTGTGCTGGCTGCACCTGAGAGTTTCCAGCTTTTGATTCGGAGGGGGGAGGGTGGAGGAGGGGGGAGGGGGAGAAGGAGGATAAGCCCTGAGCTCTGCCTGCAACAGCCTCGTGGTGGAGGGGTGGGCTTCGCGCGGGGCTTGCGCCCCTCATCTAGAACCCTTAGAAGAGATGGGGCATCCTGCAAGTCAGAGGGCGTCCAGGGGCAGACAGGAGAAACTATGTGTCTATGTGTATCTTTGTATGTCTGTGTGTCTGTTGTGTCTGTGTATGTCTCTGTGTGTGTCTGTGTGTGTATCCCTGTGTCTCTCTGTGTGTATATGTCTGTGTGTCTGTGTGTTTGTGTTTGTGTCTGTGTATTTGTGTGTGTGTGGGGGGGGGGAGGGGAGCTACCAGCGCTCAGGGGTCACTGCTGGCGTTGCTGGGGGGACCTTCCCGGGAGCCGAGATCACACCCAGGTTTGCTGCGTGCCAGGCAAGCGCCCTACCCGCGGCGCTGTCGCCCTGCCAGGAGGATTCTGTATTTGTGCAGGTCAAGGGGAGCCTGTCACCGGGGTCCCCCGGTCCGTCGCGCTCCGCCCCTGCCGGCTGGGCGGGACCCGCGGCCGCACCTGCCCAGCGGCCCCGCTGCCCTCCTGCCCGCAGTCCGCAGCTGCCCGCCAGCATGAAACTGCACTTCTGCATCCCCGCGACCCAGCAGCGGCCCGACGCGCTGGGGGGCCGCTACGTGGTGCGCTGGGGGCCCCTCCCGCCCCCGTCCTGGGCCAGCGGGGTGGGGGGCAGGCGGAGGCTTCGGGGCGGCCCACACCCCCTCTTAATCCGGGCTTGTCTCGCAGCTCTACTCGGTGCACCTGGACGGCTCCCTCCTGTGCCGGGTGCGCTACAGCCAGCTGCACCGCTGGGACCAACAGGTGAGCCAGTAGCCCCAGGACTGCCCCGACCCTGACCTGCTGCAGCTGGGGCCCTCGCGCCCTCTCTCCAGTCCAGCCCTCAACCTGCCACCCCCGGCAGGGTGCTGGGGCCCCTTTACACCCCTGCTGGTTTCCCAACGACAACGGGGCAGAGGTGATTCTTAGGCGTGGCAGTTGTGGGGCTCTTACTCTAAGAGTCGCTCCCGTTATTCATCGTAACCTCTTTTTGGGGGCTGGCGCCATAGTCCAGCGGGTAGGGACTTGCCTCGGGCGTGGCTGAACCGGGTTCCATCCCAGCATCCAGGAGGGTACCCCCCACCCACCCCCAGCACAGCCAGGAGTGGTTCCTGAGTAAACCCTGAGCATCACCGGGTGACCAAGACCTCTTAAAAAAAAAACAATTTATTTTATTTGGTGAGGGGGAGTACGCCTGGAGGTGCTCTGGGCTTCCACCTTGCTCTGTGCTCAGGGGTCACTCTTGGGGTGCTGGTTCTCCAGCACATGCAGTTGGGGGGATGAAAACCTGGGTAGCCGACATGCAAAGGCAGTGCCCAGCCCCTGTGCTCTCTGTCCAGTCCAGGTCCTGGCTTCTGGCCCGAGAGGGTGCTGTGGACACAGCTGACCAGGGTCGCCCCGGCCCCCCTGGGGTGCCCTGCTGTCTCCTAGTTAGGAAGGAAGAAGGGGAGGAGGGCCGTATCCTGGCACCTCTCACTAGCTTTAGGGGGAACAGCAGACCCTTTCGGGTGTGACCAGTGGGCACAGCACCTGCCCCAACCGGCTTCTGTGGACGGACGCTGCAGGAGGACACTCTGCATGGACACTCGGCTCTGTCTCTCCCACTGAGAACCAGCCCGGCACACGTCTGCCGGCAAGCTTGGAATATTGGACAAGCCCATTTTCGGGGTTTGATGGCAGAGTTTTGGCACCCACATAGTGGGAAGGTCGGCGCCTCTCTGAAGGGTCCCCACCAGACACAGTGCTGGGGACCACCCAGTGCTCAGCAGGGAGCCTGAGAGGGTGGGGGAGGGGCAGCGAAGTGCCAGCGACTGATCCGTGTTTGGGGGTGTAGGAAGGGCTGCGGAGGGAAGCCCATGGGGGGCTGTACAGAAGAGGTGTCCTGGGTATTCACAGGAGGAAGCTGGGTAGGGCAGCCCACCTCACTGTCATGTGGGGGGCTGGAGGGACATCAAGGGGGCAGAAGATATGCCTGGCCACTTCCTGCAGTTCAGCCCCCAATGCTCTTATGAGTGGGTGCTGGGCCCTGAGGACGGGCTGGGTGCTCCCACTCAGCAAGCAACTGGCCCAGGGTGAGGAATTCCTGAACCTTTAGCCCTGGCAGTGGGGAGCCCTGGGAAGACGCAGGTCTCCAGAGCGGGGAGTCGTCCGAATGAAAGTGAAGCCCGTTGACTCCAGACCTTCTGGATTTTTCTTTCCTTCTGTTTTTAGGGTGGGGGCACACGTTGTGGTGCTTGGGGCCTATACCTGACTCCGCACTCAGGGTTCGCTACTGTGGGTCTCAGAGGGCCCTGTGCGGTGCTGGGAATCGAGCCCAACCTGGATTTGGTTCTTCTTCCTGTCTGTTTTTGGGCCTGGCTAGCTTCGGGCCCTCTCCCTGCTCAATGTGAGGGGTCGCTGGTTGCTTCGGGGGCGTCTGCGGTGCCAGGGGCCAAACCTGTAGGCTTTTTGTTGGTAAAGAAAGTGCTCAACCAGTTGATTGGGTCTCTAGCCCATTGGACCTTACTTTTCTTTCGTTTCTTTATTTCTTGGGGGTTTTTGGCTCATACCTGGTGATCCTCAGGGGTCACTCTTGGCTCTGCACTCAGGAATTACTCATAACAGTGCTCAAGGGACAGCATGGGATGCCAGGGTTGGAATCTGGGTTGGCCACATGTGAGGCAAATTCCCTCCCCGCTGGACTATCTCTCTGGCCGTTCACTTTTTTTTTTTTCTTTTTGGGTCATACCTGGTGATGCACAGGGGTCACTCCTGGCTTTGCACTTAGGAGTCACTCCTGGTGGTGCTCAGGGGATCATATGGGATGCTGGGAATTGAACCCGGGTCGGCCGCATGCAAGACAAACGCCCTACCTGCTGTGCTATCTCTCCAGCCCCTCTGGCCGTTCACTTTGGGCAGCTCTTGGCCATCAGTTTCCGGCCATACCCAGTGGTGCTCAGGGGCGATCCCTAGCTGTGCTCAGTGAACCGTATATGATGCCAGGGCTAGAACTGGAGCTGGCCATCTGCAGGTAAGTGTCTTACTCTGCTGCTTACCTCTTTGGCTCAGATTTTTATTGTTTTTAAAAATCCTTTTTTGGGGCCAGAGCAATAGAACAGCAAATAAGGTACTTACTTGCCTTACATGTGGCTGACCAGGATTCAAAAAAAAAAAAATCCTATGTTGTACCAAGCATCACTGGGAGTGTTTCCAAAAGGCAGAGCCAGAACCTCCCTTCCCCCTCTCCCCCCTCCCCCTTCCCTCTCCCCATTCCGCCACACACACACACACACACACACACACACTCACACACGCACACACACCAAAAAATCATTTGACATTTTAGAAAGTGGATTTGGGTATTTTGTGGCATCCTCCTCTGTGGGAACCTGACTCTTTCATGTGGCTGGTGGGGGGCCATGGACCTAGGGGAGGGAGACCACAGCTCTGCCACCGGGAGCACATGCTCCTCTCCCATCCAGGCCACGGCAGGATCTTGGCTCAGCACTGTGAGTGTTGATCTGGGTTGTTGTGGCTCAGGTGGGGGCGGATCATTGACCTGTGCAGGGCGAGAGTCTGCATATGTTGATCGGGGTTGTGAGTCTCTGCTCTCCTGCGGGCCACAGCCGCTCTGTCATCTCGCGAGACGTCTGGAGATCACCTTTGTTCTTTCTCTCCTTGCTCAGGTGATTCTGGCTCATGGCGGTGCTTGACCTGTTGGCCAGAAGGTCTCTTTGACATCACACCTCCCTGTTTTCTGGTGCTAGAAAATGCCCCGGACAAGTTCCTGTTGCTCCTGCCATGGCCTGGACTCAGCATCCATTGCTACTGGCGCCCTTGTCGCTCTGACTGGGGAACTAGATCTGGCGGCACTGGGGGTGTGTTCATTGCACCTGCCGTGCTCTGTTTCATGCCTGTTCTTGGCCTCTGTGCTGACAAAGCAAGGAAAACATGTATGAAGGATGTGACCTACGTGGGCTTGTCCATGGGGTCTCCATGTACCTACAAAGAGTTCTTTCTCTATGTGTACACAGCCATGATCCATGGTCACCACGGGAATCACGTTCCCCTTCTCTGCCATCTCTGGGAACACCCACCGTGGTAGCCATAAGGATCCTGACCCCTCGCTGGCCGTGTACACTCATTTACTTACTGGATCATTTCTCTTTCCTTTTTTCCCCATTTTTTGGTTTGTTTGTTTCGGGGTCACTCCTGGTAGTTCTCAGGGTGAATGCAACAGCTCACTTCTGGCAGCGCTTGAGGGACAATTTGAACCAGGGTCAGCTGCCTACAAGGTTAGTGCCCTGTCTGCTATATGATCTCTCCAGCCCCACTTTCCAGCTCATTTCTGTTGGCACCTAGAGCAGAATCTGAACTATTAATCTGCTCTGACCGGAAATAAGTCATTCAAGTAGAAGCTGGTATTCCTGCTATTTCTTTGATCTCTGTTTTCCAGGCTCTGCTCAGTTCCAGAGCTACTGAAATCATCAATTCCTTTTCCTCACATTCCTTCAAGGACATGGTTTACTCCTTTTGTGACTTGGAATTATTTTTTTTTCACATTCTCCATTCCTTCCTGAGATTCTCCCAACCTCCACAGAGATATTTTTAGATCTTTGCAACTGTTCAGGCATTACACATAGATATGGGCTCCTGTAGCCACAGGGATAGTGATCCTACAGGACAGTCCTATGTCCCAAGCTGAGCATCATCTGCTCGACACTTCCCTTCCTCAAGTTCTAACAACTGCTGATGGCCTTACTATCTCTACTATTCTGCTTTTCCAGAACTCCATGTAACTGGGGATGTGTAGCAGACCTCCCTTTCCAGACTGACTTCTCCATGCCATTGTGCCTCAAAGGCCTCTTTGAGTATTTTCATGGATTTATGGCTCATTTCTTTTTAGTTCTGAATATTTCACTGTATGTTTGCACTATAGTTTGTTTATCCAACGGTTGAAGGGTATCTTGATGGCTGTTTGTTTGGGATGGTCATAGATAAAATAGTGGTAACTATTCCCATGCAGATTTATCTGGACATTGTTTTCAAGTAGATTGGGTAAATATCTGGTAGTGTTATTCCTGAATGACAGAGTAAAAAAGTGGTTAATTTTGTAAGAAATTTTTTAAAAATTTAAACTTTCTTATTGAATTACTGTGAGATAGACCCCTACAAAGCTGTTCATGATTGGGTTTCAGTCATACAGTGTTCCAGCACCCATCCCTCCACCAGTGCACATTTCCCAGCACCAGTGTCCCCAGGTTCCTTCCCATCACTTCCCACCCCCATCCCCTGCCTGCCTTTATGGCAGGTGCTTAATAAATTAAAATTTGAAGGAACAGGCTGGAGAGAGAGTATAGGAGTTAAGGCATTAGCCTTGTATCCTTCTGAACCAGATTTAATCCCCAACACCATATATGGTCCCCTGAGCACTGCCAGGAGTAACCCCTAAGCAAGAGCTAGGAGTGAGTCTGACAGGTGTGCCCCTGCAAAATAAATAAATAAATAAATAAATAAGCCCAACTCTTTGTAAGAAATTGCCAAGCTGCCCCACAAAGTAGCTGTTTCCTTTTGTATTTCCTCCTGGAGAAAACCTTTTACAATTCCAAATTGCGAAATGAAATCAAATTCAAAATCTCTCAATCGAATGCCAAGGTAACAAACCCAACAAACCGCATCTGGGAGCTGTGTCCATACTAGCTTTTCTGCTGGCCCAGCCCTGTCTGCTAGAACTTTCTGTGCTTTGCAAATGCTCTGTCCCGGCTGCTTCTGAGTCAGTCACAGCTTGCCTCACTGTGAGCGGCTGTTGAGGACAGACGATGTGGCCCATGTGACAGAGGGGCTGAATATTAAATGTGAGATTGAAAAGTGCTCCCTGGGGGCTGGAGCGATAGCACAGTGGGGAGGGCGTTTACCTTGCACACAGCCGACCCGGATTCGATTCCCAGCATCCCAAATGGTCCCCCAAATGGTCCCCCGAGCACCGCCAGGAGGAATTCCTGAGTGCAAAGCCAAGAGTATCATCGCCAGGTGTGACCCAAAAAGAAAAAAAAAGAAAAGAAAAGTGCTCCCTGAGGATGAATGAATGTCCCAGGGGGTCGTAGCATGAAACCCGCGCTTCCCTGGAGGGTGGGACTGTGAGCAGGGTGGTGGAAAGGGGTTACTCATATTTGGAGAGAGTCCTCAATGGTTCTTTCTTAGGAAGGGACATGAGTGGGGGTGGGGGTGGGGGGCAGGGAGGGGGGAACACCGAGCAGAACCAGCAGCTGCAAAGTTCCTGATCCCCGGGAAAGATGTCAGCCTTTTGGTCCCAGGCAGTGCTGACCCTTGTAGTGAAGGCAGGGCCTGGGCAAGGCAAACATTTGCTGATGACATGCCATAGGGGTGATAACGGCCGCAGAATCAAAATCGCACCCGTTGGCCTCTCCTACCCCGTAAACCGGCCCGCCTTCTCTCCATGTGACTGACCAGGAAGTGGTTGGCTTTGGGGCTTTGTCCTCCTGCCCTAGGTGCCAGGTTCAAACCAGACTTGTCTAGGGCTGGTTTCCTTTCTATTTTTTGATTCATTCCCGCTCCCCTCCCAACCCCCCACCCCCAGTCCACAGTACTTCTCTACTTTTTGAATTTCTTTGGAACTTAACTAGTGCTCAAGGCTTGCTCATGGCTCTGTGCTCAGGGGTCACTCTTGGAGGTGATCAGGGTGACCAGGGATTGAATCAGGGTTCCCTACAGTCAAGGACAGAACTTTACCCGGCAGATTTCTTTCTTTTTTCTTTTTTTTTTCTCTTTGGGTCACACTGGTGATGCTCAGGGCTTACTCCTGGCTCTGCACTCAGGAATCACTCCTGGTGGTGTTCAGGGGACCATACGGGATGCTGCGGATGGTGCCCAGGTCTGCCGCGTGCCAGGCAAGCGCCTTCCCAGCTATACTATCACTCCGGCCCCTACCCATAGTATTATCTCTCCACTCCTTTATCCAGTTTGGTTTTGATTTTGGTTTATTTGGGGACCACATCCCCCAGGGATATCAGTGCCCAGGCCTTCCACCTGGCTCTGTGTTCAGGGACTATTCCTGAAGGTGGTCAGAGGACCCTATGTAGCCAGGGATCAACTTGAGGTCAGCTGTGTACAGGGCAGTACCTCACCTACTGCATCATCTCTCCAGCCCCGCTGTGACCCCTGATGCCTTATTTTCAAGGGGCTACCAAAAGTGGGGGGCTAGCTGAAGGGCAGATGCGTTTTTGCTTCTTTCAACTTAAAAATGCTTTTTGATGCGTCCACTCTTGGCCTCGGGATCATGGCTGCCCTGGTCTCGGATCAGCTGTGGGTAAGAGGAAGGCATGTCCCTGGGTTTCCATGAGAAATGTGCAGGCTTTATAGGAATTCTATAAACAAATAAGTAGGAACTCTAGAAATGGTCCAATAAAAATATAATGACTATTACATACAAGATTTAAATTTCTCTGGTAGACTTGCTAAAAAGTGTGGGAAAGGGCTAGAGAATTAGGACAGTGGAGAAGGCACTTCCTCTGCAGGGGGCTAAGCCAGGCTCAGTTCCCAGAACCAGATGTGCAGGAGGTGGGGAGTTAGAGTCACACAAACTGGGGTGAGCTGTGTGCACTTCTGACTGTGGGCTTGTGTGGAGATACATAACCTGTCTCCCTAACACCCAACAGAGCTCAGGGCTCACTCCTGGTTCTGTGCTCCGGGTTCACTCCTGGCAGTGCCCCCGAGAACTATATGGGGTGCCAGGAATTGAACCCGGGTCAGCAGCATGCAAGATCAGCGCCCTCCTCACTGCACCATCTCTCCAACTCCAGGAAGTTTCTCTTGAAATAAAGTGATAGAGTGAGACTCATCCCGCGCGTTGGCTTGGTGTCCGTCAACCTGAACTTTCCCGCTCTCAGTCTCAACTGTGCGTTTGCTGGATCTTTCAGCTGAGAAGGGTCTTTGGAAACTGCCTGCCCCGCTTCCCACCCAAGCACTATCTTGCGATGACCCCGTCGATGGCCGAAGAGAGGCGGGACCAGTTGGAACAATATTTGCAAAATGGTGTGTATTGGGAGCTTCTTGGGTTTTTATTGGACAGGTCGGTTCCATGCTCTGAAACTCACCTGTTAAAATGTGTACTTGGGGGCCAGGAGACTAGGCCGGGAGGTAAGCAGGGCAGTGCCTGCCCCGCTCACCTGCAGGCGCCTCACCTGAGGCCGGAACCTCAGTGCTATGGTCCTGGAAGCAGGGAGCAGAGAAATGCTTTCCACCACTGGCCGTCTGGCATACCATTTTGAGCATTGCTGCGATGTCAAAGTTGGTATTTCCTGGGTGGTTTAGAACATTCAAGGGTCTTACAGATAGGGAGTTCAAGTGTGAAGCATCATTGACATTTTTTTAAAAATTGAATCGCCATGGATTGCAAAGGTTTTGGTTTGGTTTGGGGGCCCCGCCCATGGATGCTCAGGGCTTATTCCTGAGGTACTCGGGGGTCCATATTGGGTTCTGGGGTCAGCTACAAGCAAGACAAGCACATTACTTGCTGTACTGTCACTCTGGCCCCAAGTTGCCAAATCATTCAGTGTCGAGTTGCAGGCCTAGAGAGTTCTAACACCAATCCTTCACCACAGTCCACTTCCTCCCCCCAGTGACCCCAGCTTCCCTCACGTCTCCCCAGTTGCCTCTGTGGCCTCTGTGGCCGACACCACTTCCTTTTCTCCTTTTAGGCTCCATGGTTTTTGGCTGGTACGGGTAGGGCATTTGCCTTGCACGTGGCCGACCAGGTTTGATTCCTCCGCCCCTCTCGGAGAGCCCGGCAAGCTACCGAGAGGATCTCGCCCGAACGGCAGAGCCTGGCAAGCTCCCCGTGACGTATTCGATATGCCAAACACAGTAACAACAAGTCTCACAATTGAGACGTTACTGGCGCCCACTCGAGCAACTCGAAGAACAAAGGAGGACAGTGCTTCAGTGCTACAAGTCACTAATAGAGTGTCATGCATATCCCTTTCCCTCCTCCCAGCACCAGTCACACGCAGAATAAAGATTCGTTTTGGTCTAACTCTTGGCTGCTCCTGAGCTCCGTCCTTGGTCTGGGGGTCAGCGCAGGTGAGGGGCTGGTGTTAGCAGGGCTCGGAAGATGCTCGTGGGTTTGCGGCCATGAGCTGCTGTCGTCCGTGAAGCTGCTTTGTGGGTTCCCAGCTTGCGCATGACCTCGGGACACTGTGGGGGCTCATTGGGCCTCCCGAGCCCCCTGACAGCAGGCCCACTCCCCTAGCTCTCCGATTGTGTCTCTCAGTGGCTGTGGATCCTGGCATGCTGAGAAGCGACGTCTTTGTGGACTTCTGGAAGCTGGCACAGCTGGTAAGTTCGCTTTCCGGGCTCCATCTTTGCTTGACTGCAGAATGAGACTCCTCGTGACAGTGTGAGCTTTTCCAGCCATCAGCCTGTTGATTCTGGGCTCTGGTGAAATCTCTTCCTTCGGGCTAGACTGGAGGATGGCTGCTGTGTTGGCCTTTGAGCGTGGGGGGTTGGGGGAGGGGTGGGACGGGCAAAGGGGAATAGGCTAGAATCTCGATGGTTGTTTCATGTTACTCCGCCTTCGGAGTATTCTTTTGAGCAGAGTGATTATGTTTCTATACTGCACAACTGATCAGAAAGAAGGAGGGAGGCCTTTCGGGGGCCAGAGAGAAAGCAAAGTGGATAGGACGCTTGCCTTGACCAGGGTTTGATCCTCAGCACCTCACACCTCATATGAGCCCCGCCAGAGAGATCCTGAGTGCAGAGCAAGGAATAAGCCCTGAGGAAGGAAGAAGTTGAAGAAGAAAAAGGAAAAGGATAAGAAGAAGGAGGAAGACGGAGAAGACCTTCATCACAGAGCGTCTCTCTGATCACTCAGTTCTTCAGAGCCCAGGGGTTGGCTTGGGACTGGCTTCATGCATCGTTGCTGTTCCCGGATAGTGCACCTGAGTTAGAGCATCTTCGTTTTTCAGTTTCCTGTTTATTTCTACCTACAACCTCCAGTTCCAGCCATGGGGGAGCAAAAGGCAAAACTTCATGATTTCTCAGCGCCAAGAATTGTCTGTTGTGCCGGAGAGCACAGTTTCCGTTTCTGTGTGTGTGTGTGTGTGTGTGTGTGTGTGTGTGTGTGTGTGTGTGTTGGAGGTGGAGACTGAGCACACCCCGTGCTTAGGGTTTACTCCTGCCTCTGTGCTCAGGGATCATTCCATGGTGCTCAGGGGACGAAATGTGGTACTGTGAGCATTGGTCTGCTGCATGCAAGGCAAGTATCTCCCTGGCCCCAGCAAACTCTGTTTATTGGGGGGGGGGGCATACCCAGCGATACTTGGGGTTCAATTCTGGCAGTGTAAAAGGAACCACATGGGATGCCAGGGAAGGAACCTGGGTCTGCCGTGTGCAAGGCAAGTGGCCAACTCGTGTTACTATCACTCCAGCCCCAGGGGCCAAAGGTTGGGGCATCTCTTTGGCGCCTCTGTCAGGTCTTGGAGTCACTCAGACAAACCCTGCTTTCTTTAGCACATGGCCCTTCAGCTGGCCCCCTCTCCCCTCCTGGCTGTGGGTTCTGCAGGCCTGAGCCTTGTCAGTGGCTGTTGGCTGACTCTGGTTGAAGCCGGGGATTTGCCTGTGAATACACACCACTGATCCTCGAGCCCGCCCGGCCCTGCTGGAACCTTCCATTACTCAACACGCAGCTAGTGTGATTGAAACAGCCCCAGGGAGGCCAGTTCCCTGTGTTCCCGTCACCCATGTGGAAAGTTCTGTCTGTCTAGTGGTTGCTTTCATAGTTGGGCCCCAACTCTGGGTCCGAGAAGGGCCAGGAGTGACTCACCAGCCGGAGCAGAATCAGTGCGCCCAGAAAGGAAGCGGCCGTGGGCAGACAGCGCCCCCTTGTGGAGGTGCTAGAACAGCCCGTCCACAGAGGTGGTCACTGGGTCTGGCTCTGGTAGCCGCTTCCTGGTTCCCATGCTGTTAACTGAGCTTCCTGAGCCCTGACCTTGCCTGCGTCTCAAGGTGTCTTCCTTAACCTGTAGCTAGAAGCCCCAGGTTCCTGGGTCTGTAGGCCCCAGACCTCACATCCAGGGAGCAATTTGCTCCCCTGTAAGAGTGTGGACACACAGGGTGATGGGCCCCCAGACCACAAGTGACCGCCTCACATGGACTTTTAGGGAAATATTCAAAAAGGGAAGTTCTATCTGAGAAACCCTCCCCATTTCATTTCATTTCATTTCATCATCCTGTTATTCGTCGATTGCCTCGAGCAGGCCCCAGTAACGTCTCTTTCATCCGAGCCCTGAGATTATATTCAAGGCTATTTAGGAGAATGAGACCCATCATTGTTACTGGTATTTGGCATATTTGGTACACCATGGGGAGTTTGCCAGACTCTGCCCTGTGGGCAGGCTACATTGGATAGCCTGCAAGTTTGTCCAAAGTAGGACATCTCAGTGCCATGAAAGATTTTATCAAATGCTTCCCCCTGACTAAAATGTGGCTTTGTGATTTATTTGGAATCACCCATGTGGCATGTCGGTGTTTTGTCCGGCCCCACTTCATTAACCCTGAGCCCCTTTCCCAGATCCTGTGAGCCTTCGGGACGAGAGAGAGAGAGAGAGAGAGAGAGAGAGAGAGAGAGAGAGAGATGGACAGAGGAGACAGAAAGACAGAAACAGAGACACAGAGACAGGGACACAGAGACAGACAGAGACAAGCAGAGACAGAGAGAGAGAGGACTGGCATGGGTTGGTGGGGGCGGTTTATGCCAGGGGAACCGGCGCTTTGCTCTGCTACAGGACACATTTTGCATCAGTCCTGAGGAGGCCTCTCTGGATGTGTTTCTGCCCAGTGGAAGGAGCGTGCAGGTGACGGTTCTCACCTCGGACACGACTGAGACAGTCCTGGAGGTGAGCTGGGTGTGAACTCAAGCACTGTTGAGCAGAGCATGACTTCCAGGCCAGATGGGGCCTGGGGTTGCCTCTGCATGGGTATGCACTGGGAGTCTGACGAGGGGCTGAAGAGCTAGCAAGAGGAAGAAGTCAGAAAACTTCTAGAACATTCTGGATAGACAGTTCTTCTGAACTGAAAAACAGTACGTGTGTGTGTGCGCGTGTGTTTGTGTGTGCATACACATGCACGCACACGTGCACACACACATACCCCTCAGGAGGGCTTCCAACTTTCAGACCCACTTCACCCCCGAGACCACAAGGGCTCTCTGCCTTCAGTAGATACCTTCCACCCAACCTGGCTGTTCATGCCCACCTCCTGGCCCCAGAAAAACACTTGGAAACACTCACCTAGGACTTGGCCCTGTGAGGTTCAGCCTGAAACTTTCCCCCACCAAATACCTTCACTGGACACCCCCTTTTCTGGACCCTGGCTCAGTGAGACTGGAAACCTGGGTCCCTGCAGCACCCTGCCCTGCTCATCTGGAAGCAGGGGGCTTCCTGGTTCTAGGGGTACGGCCCTCCCCTCTCATGAGGCCCTGTGTGATAGGATTCTCCTTTCCTCCCCACTGTCTGCCTAAGTCAACTCCCCTTTCACCACAGGCAACTCCCCGTTCACTGCAAGCGACTTCCCCTTTACCACAGTCAATGTCCTGTCCACCACATGTAACTCCCCTTTTCACCACAGGCAACTCCCCTGTCACCACAAGCTACTCCCCTTTCACTATAGGCTGCTCTGCGCTCCCTGGTGGTCTAGTGGTTAGGATTCGGGCGCTCTCTCTCACGACAGGCTACTCCCTTTTATCATAGGCAACCTCCCTTCACCACAGCCAACTCGCCTTTCACAGCAGGCAACTCCTCTTTCGCCACATGGACCAGAGGAGACAAGTCTGACTTGAGTGGACATGTTTACTCTAGGGAAGACAGGTGTATGGGCAGTGAGTAGGTGCTTGCCTTGCGCACAGCCGACCTCATTCCCTCTTCCTCACACCATATAGTCGGCTGAGTCCTACCGGGAATGACTCCCGAGCTTAGAGCCAGGAGCAAGCCCTGAGCTTAGCATGTGCGGCCCCCAAACCCCAAAATAAATAAGACAGGCTTTACAAACTACCACCTGAGCACACACTCACACATATGCACTCACAACCCTGCTATCACACTATTCCCACACCCACTCACGTTCACCTCCCCCATTCGTGCTCAGTTGCCCACATTCACGCCTCCATACCATTACTCATTCACACCCGCCCATTCATGTTAATACCCACACTCATACTCCCCACGCACCGTCATGCATACCCATGACTCTCCCCTGCACTCACACACTCATACCCATGGCTCTCCCCTACCCTCACGCTCATACCCACATTCTCCCACACTCGTATTCAAAGCCATATTCACACACATACACCCACACTCTCTCCTATGCTCACACTCAGGTCCAGACTCTTCCTACATGCACACATGCCACATTCAGCCTCTCATTCACTCCCACCACGCTCACATCCCCTCACATGCCTTTACTTTCACATATACACTCCCAACTCATGCCCACACACATATCCATACCCACACCCGTATACACACTCACGATCACACTCCTGCACTCTCACATACACTCTCTCAGAGTGCTCCTCTCTCTCTCATACACACACACACACACACACACACACACACACACACACACACGGAAACTGTTTCTTGCTTTAGTTGGGGCTCTCTGCAAAAGCACGGGGGCAGAGAGGAATCAGGAGAGCTGGGGTAAGGTTGGACTGTGCTGTGCACCCACTTTCCAGGCTGTTCCTCCCCTCTAGCGCCACCCGGGCACCCCGCCCCTCCACACACCCCTGGAGATGCTTTCATCTTGGAGCCTGGCAGGGCCCCAGAGCGCTGAGAGGGCAAGTCCCCCCCTGACGCAGAGGTGACCAGCAAGTGCCTCTGTGCTGCAAGGAAGTGATCCAGGAGCCCCAACCTGAAGGGGGGCGTCGGCGTGGGGGTCCCCAGAGAGACAGTCTAGTAGCACACAGGTTCCTGCTGAGAGCAGGGGATGACTCCAGGTGGGTGACCCCCAGGAGGAAGGCACCTCACAGCTTGAACAAATTGTCCAAAGTAAGGGTCCAGGAGGGAGAGTAGTGGGGCGCTAGGTTCCCGTGGCACCAACAGCAGTGACAGCTGCACGTCCCAACCCCGGGGAGCAGCGGCAGGCGCTGGTGCAAGCCAAGTGGGAGGACCCCCCATTGGCCAGTGTCCCCTGACCCCTGGCAAGCAGCCCTCGGGCAGGGAGGTGGAAGGTGGGCTGTGGTCTCACGGAATCCCCTGCTGACCAGCTCCACCTGGAGACGCACCCACGACCCTGCCATCGATGTCAGCTTCCCGTGGTGGTTTCTGCGGGTAGTTTCTCTCTTCAACTGAGACGCAGATGCCTCGCCTGAGACCTGGGCAGGCAGCAGGGTGCACCCCATCCCAGCCTACCCCCGCGCTCTCTCCTTGTCCTTTTTCCCCTTCTTTTTGGGTCACACCTGGCGATGCTCAGGGCTTACTCCTGGCTATGCACTCAGGAATCACTCCTGGTGTTGCTTGGGGGGCCATACGGGATGCTGGGAATCGAACTGGGGTTGGCCGCGTGCAAGGCAGATGCCCTCCCCGCTGTGCTATGGCTCCAGCTTCCTCTCCTTGTCCTTGCCGGCAGGTGCTGTCGCGCCGGCTGGGGCTGTGTGCTGAGCTCCGGGACTACTTTGGCCTGTTCCTCATTGGCTTCCAGCAGGAGACTGAGCCTTCTAGTAAGGACGGGGTGGGCGGGGGTTTGGCAGGGCCCAGCTGGGGACGTGTCACCCCAGGGAAACCCCCTGCATTGGAGAGTGGGAGAAATAGGGGCTGAGCTCAGGGTAGGCCATAGCGGAAAGACCGTGGGAGGTGAGGTCTTTCCAGTAGCCCCTCTCTGCTTCTCCCAGGGCTGCTGTCTGTGCACCCTGCTCTCTTGGGGTGCAGCATGGGAATCTCTCCGGCCTCTCCCCTACCTTAGGGTGGTATGAAGCAGCCCTCTCCGGGGCCTTGGCACCCTTGGGAAGCTGAGGGAAGTTGGGTTTGGCAGTTCTGGGGCTGCGGGTCCCGGGCAGGCTATGGTGTGTCGGCGCTGGTGGAAGTCTCTCCAACCCTCTGTCTCTTCATCTGTGTCCTGTGGACGCCCCCAGCTCAAGAGCCGGGCCTGTGAGGAGCATCTGACGCTCTTCTCAGAGTGTTCAGAAAGTTCAGACACACCTGAAGGAGAGCACTGTGCTTGGAGTCTTGTTTAGTTTCCTGCTGGCACAGCCCCTGTCTGTGGGCTGCTCTCTTTAATGGGGACCCCCCCTCCCTTGTCCTTCCCTAGTCCTGAAGAAACTGGCTGTCTTTGAACTCCCTTTTGTTAGTCTTCGATATGCTGAAGTGGGAAGCTGCAGAGTGGAACTCAGGAAGTGGTGAGTGAGTTGTTCTTGCCACAAGGGGCACTAGTCACTGGGGGTGTGGGGAAGGAAACACAGTGATTTTTTTTTAAATTTTCTGAACAGTAAGTGATTGACCCCATAGGTTTGGGGACCTCTACCCTAAGTCTTTTTTTTCTTTCTTTTTGGGTCACACCTGGCGATGCACAGGGGTTACTCCTGGCTCATGCACTCAGGAATTACTCCTGGCAGTGCTCAGGGGACCATATGGGATGCTGGGAATCGAACCCGGGCCGGCTGTGTGCACGGCGAACGCCCTATCCTCTGTGCTATTGCTCCAGCCCTACCCTAAGTCTTTACTAATAATATTGTTGTTGTTTGCATCTTAAGTTTCCAAGCCCCCTAGGATAAGTGCTCACAGAATACATAAAATAGGAAAATAAATGTCCATCCCTCTTGGGGTGCAGCATGAGAATCTCTCCAGGCAGTTCTCCTACCTCGGGGTGGCAGGAAGCAGCCTTCTCTAGGGCCTTGGCATCCTTGGGAGGCTGAGGAAGGAAGATGCGTCAAAGGAAAAGATTGAGGTCTTGTCGGAAAGGGGCGCCTTGGTTCAGTGCACACAGGGCCCCATTCTGTGATTTTTCACTTTGTGTGACTGAGGATTGGACCAGCGCCTCACCTACCAGCACCAGTTTCTCCCTACTTAGCCCTGGCAGCTGGGTGCCCAGGTGCTGCCCCCTAATGCCAGGTACTGCCCTGTCTAGGTACCTGGACCCTGCCCTGGACGCCAGGCTGATAGACTGCGGTGCTGCCCTGAGTTTGCTCTACACACAGGTGAGCGTAAGCAAAGCTCCAGCCCCTCTGGGGACCTTGAGCTTGACATCGGTGGGAAACGTCTGCACTAGCTAGGAAACCTTTGTACTAGCCACGCCCGGCGGTTCTCAGGGGTCACTCCTGAATCACGCACTCAGTCAGGAATTACTCCTAGCGGTGCTCGGGGGACCATATGCGATGCTGGGAATCGAACCCGGGTTTCCCTGCCGCTGTGCTATCGTTCCAGCCCCTGTCTGTTTTGCTTTTGAGGCACACCCTGTGGTGTTCAGGGCTCACTTCGGGCTCTGTGCTCAGGGATCACTCCTGGTAGGTCTGGGGCTTTCTGTGGTGCTGGGGGATCAAACCCAGGCCAACTGCGTGCATGGCAAGTGTCCTAACCACCATGCTATCACTCTAGCCTCTGTTTGGTCTTTTACTTTATTTATTTATTTTGTTAGTTTTTGGCCAATACCTCGTGGTACTTAGGTACTCCTGACTGCAGTCGGGGTTCATTCCTGGAGGGCTCAGGGCTTCATCGGGGGTGCTGGGGATCAAACCCAAGTTGGCCACCTGCAACCTGCTGAACTCCCCCCCCACTGGCTTTTAAAAAAACTGGGGGGCCACACGCAGCAATGCTCAGGGCTTCCTCCTGGTTCTGCACTCAGGAATCCCTCCTGGTGGAGCTCGGGGGACCCTGTAGGATTCCGGGGATGGAACTCGTGTTGCCATGTGCCAGGCATGCGACCTCCCCACGGTGCTATCGCTCCAGCCCACCCTTGCTGCTTTGCGGGTTCTGTCTGGTCGCAGCATGGGGCCACCTTGATTCTGTTGCTTCCACATACCCATCCTTCTCCCTGGCTGGCCATTTGCTTCTTTGTTCTTAGTGTTTTTTTAAAATTTTTTTTAATTTTATAAAGTAGTTCACAATATTTGATTACATTTCATATTCAAACACCAGTCTCACCACCATTCCATCTTCCCACCACTATATTTCAGGTGTTTCCATCCTGAAACATCCCAATTCGTGTTCTCAAGCAGAACCAAAGTAATATAATAGTTCCCTCTGATTGGTTGCCTCCTACTTTGAACTCCATCAAATGTGGTGCGGTACTCTTGGAGTATGGGTAGGGTGTGTTTATGAAGTGTCCAGGAATAGGTTTACACGTGGATGAGTCTCGGCCCCAGCATGTGGGGAGCGATGGTGAGCATGGTGAGCATGGCGGCAGCTGAGTTCTGGAGGTTTTTGGCTGCTGAGGCTGGGTTCCTCGGGGAAGGGAGGGTGTCTCACCCACCCCCCTCTGGGGTGCCCTGAGTTAAAACAGCCTGGCGCGGGGTCTGGCGGCATGGTTATGGTGAGTCTTGTTGCTCCCTTCCCATTTCAGGAGGTGAGCTGTTCTTGGTAGTTTTATAGGGAAAAGTTTGATATTTTCATGTATGAAAACATTTTTTCTTTTTTAAAAAATAATTTTATTTATTTATTTGTTGGTTTTTTTGGTCACACCCAGTGATGCTCAGGGATTTCTGCTGGCTCTGTACTCAGGAATCATTCCTGGTCATGCTTGGGGGATCATATGGGATGCTGAGGATTGAACCCAGGTTGGCCGTGTGCAAGGCAAACGCCCTGCCTGCTGTACTATTGCTCTGCCCCCTACATTTCTTTATTGTGACTTTCGTTTGTATCTAAGGAAGATTCCCATGCAGTCAGGGAGTTAGGGTAGGGGTCACTGCACTTGCCTTGGATCCCCTGGACCCTCATTTGAATTCCCAGCGCTGCAGATGTTACTGGGCACCACCAAGCATCACTTCTGAGTACAGAATTCGGTATAGCCCCTGAGCACTGCCGGGGGTGGCCCAACCCCACAATGATAATAATACAAAAAAATTTAAAAGATAACCTACCTCAAGATGAGATAAAATCGTCTCCTTTCCTTTCTCCCTATTCTTTCCTTTTATTTACTTTGTGTTTACGTCTTCACCTGGATCTCTCGGGCAGTGGTTTGTGCTAGGAACCAGCTTTGTTTGCTCTCGTTCCTCGGTGCCACCAAGTGATCCCCAAATGGCTAAATCACCTCTTCCCCCTGCCCACTAATTTAAAGACAAGCTTTCAAGCCTGCAAGGGCTTACTTCTCTCCTCCTGGCAGTTTTTATGGCCTTTCACGCACAGGCATGGTTTGAGTCCGATTGACTACTTCTGCTGCTTGCTAACCTGACAACTCCCGCTGTTTGAAGGCCCTGCAGGACATGGAAAGGGAGTGGGCCAAGCCCACTGCAGCCCAGAGGCAGGAGCTGGAGGCTTTCCAGAAAGAGGACAACCAACCCAAGGTGAGTGAGTGACCCTCAGGGACAGGGGCATCTGTGGCAGGACTTCAACTGAGCTGTCCCCACTTTTTCTACACCCTTCCAAGCACCCACATTTTCTACACCTGCCCAAGCACCAGTAGTGAGGTGAGCACCCCATTGATTCCTCTGTCTGTAGATGTAATAACAGCTCATTTCTTATTCTAATCAAATACAGGCACTCGATCGAGTCCTTTGCCAAGCGAATTAGTCTGTTAACTCATTCTCCACAATCACGAGGAATCTCATTCAATGTGATGTTATAATTTGCTAACCAACTCAGAAGTTGAGAAGGAGGTTGGGTTTTGTTGGTATAAATCACATCGGATGCAGGTGCCTCTGGGCTCAGGAGTGTCTCTGATGGATTCTTGTCCTCCTCGGACACCAGACACTTCCCTGCTGGAGGTGTCGGCGCCATGGACAGAGTGCTCTTTCCGAGTCTGTGTGTTCAGATGCTCCTGAGGGGGAATTTATTCACGTCAATCTCTTTTTTTTCTTTTTGGGTCACACCCGGCAATGCACAGGGGTTACTCCTGGCTCTGCACTCAGGAGTTGCTCCTGGCAGTGCTCAGGGGACCATATGGGATGCTGGGAATCGAACCCTGGTCAGGCACATGCAAGGCAAACGCGCTGCCCACTGTGCTATCTCTCCAGCCCCACGTCAATCTTTTTTGAAACTTTTTTTTATTGAATCACTGTGAGACAGACCCTTTCAAAGCTGTTCATGACTGGGTTTCAGTCATACAGTGTTCCAGCACCCATCCCTCCACCAGTGCACATTTCCCAGCACCAGTGTCCCCAGGTTCCCTCCCATCACCCCCCCACCCCCAACCTGCCTCTATGGCAGGTGCTTTTCTTCTCTCTCTCCCTCTCTCTCTCTCTCTCTCTCCTCCCTCTTTCTTTTCTCTCCCTCTTCTCTCCCTCCTCTCTCTCTCCCCTCTCTCTCTCCTCCCTCTCTCTCTTTTCTCTCTCTCTTCCCTTTTGGACATTGTGGTTTGCAATATTAATACTGAAAGGTTATCAAGGATATCTCTTACCTACTTTTTCTTTTGATGTAGGAAAAAAATTTATTGAAAGGCATAGATATCTTTATACATTGATTTAATAGTATACATATAAAGCAATAATATCTGACAGACTGTGATATACTGATGTACTGGAACTACTCCACCGTTTATAATAATGTAATTTCTTCATATTTTCTAGAGTATAAGTACCATAGAAATTGGTAATAGGATGATAATAGAATAATTTTAAAAGTTATTTTTGTGGGCGCTGGAGCGATAGCACAGCGGGTAGGGCGTTTGCCTTGCATGCAGCCAACATGGCCAACACAGGTTCGATTCCCAGCATCCCATATGGTCCCCCGAGCACCGCCAGGAGTGATTCCTGAGTGCATGAGCCAGGAGTGACCCCTGAGCATCGCTGGGTGTGACCCAAAAAGCAAAAAAAAAAAAGTTATTTTTGTGGGTTTGAATCAGAAGCAAATACATTGCATATTTGAAAATCTACTATATTAAATATAAGGTCATTTTTTCATCTGGAATCGTTTTGGAATCACTTACAATAATCAATATAATTTTCTTAATAGAATTCTCATTACATTTCTTGGTTTTTGTTTGTTGGTGCACACCCAATGGAACTTAGAGATTACTCCTGACTCTACATTTAGGATCATTCCTGTTGGTGCTTGGAGGATCATATGTGGTGCTTGGGGTTGATGCTGGGTTTAGCTGCATGCAAAGAAAGCTTCTACCTGCTCTTACCTACTTTTAACCCTCAGATCTTATCCAGAGTGATCATTCCCAGCTATTATTGTCATACTGGTCTCTTCTCTATCTTACCTACCCTCAGCCTCACACACACATGTGGTTAGTTACAACCATTGGCCTGTCCTGCTAACCCCTGTTTTCCCTGGCTAATATTCATGTTGATTTTTAATGCTTCCAGAAAGGTCGTATCCACTCACAGGCCTCTGCCCGGGACAGTGCATCTACGCCTGGCCCAGAGGCCAAATTAAAACAGAACAGTAGGTTTCTGTTCCGTGTTTCACCTTTCCCCCCCACCCTTTCCCCCCCACCCTATTCTTTAGACTTTCCCAGTGTTTACCACGAGACATTGATTTTTGAACAAAATAAAGGTGAAATTGAGGACTATGTATACATTCATTAGTAGAGGAAGTCATTCTTTTTTTAAAAAATTTTATTTTCATAAGGTTGTTCACATTAATTGATAACATTCAATATTTCAACACCAATCCCACCACCATCACACCTTCCCGCCACCATTATTTCCAATTTTCCCACCACCGTTCAAGCCTGCCTGCCAGGGGCAGACGCCAGATAATTTATTTTCTATTGCTTATTGTGAATATCATGAGAAGTTTTCTGGAATTCTAAAATTGTAAATGGTTGGGGTCCAGAGACATCTCTGTAAGGAGCTAATCCATTTTGAGATTTATTTGGGATTCTCTGGATTAAGGCCGTTGATGCATTGAGATGGCGCCCCATAGGCAGACGGTGGGCGTGACAGCCAGGACCCCCCCACCCCAAAGTCATTTTTAAAAGGCTTGGGAATTTTGAGAACTGGATTGAGGAGATTCAGAAAGACAGAACAGGACGCAGAGAATGAAAAAGAAATGAGAGCAGAGAGAGAGAGAGAGAGAGAGAGAGAAAGGAACAAATAGCTGGCCACGATTCAATAGTGTCTCTAAGTGAAATTGATGTAAAGGAGAAGCCATTTAGCTTAAAATGATAGTAGATTAAGTCCAGCCCTGGGCACTCTTTTTATAAATAAAGTCTTATTGGTGCCTAGTCAAGCCCTGCTCTTCACTGATGTGCTGCCTAAGGCTGCCTTGGGCCCAGGCGAGGAGCCGAGTCACTCACTGCACTAGATACCGCTTGTCTGGGAACACACGTGTGGGACTTGGCCAAGAAATTGCCAACTTTCACAAAATACACAAACCCACCTTCTGCAGTTACAGGAATGAAATGAGATTTTTTTCGGGAATTATAGAAGTAATTTTGAGTAGATGCTCCTTGCAGATTCCTGTCTTCTGGTCTTCATGATTGATAACATCCTTCCATGGCCCCTCCCCGCCGCGCCCCTGTCAAGTGGCAAATGCCAGCCCACGTTTTGAGCATGGAGCTTCTTCATCACGACTTTCTTTTTCTTTTTTTAATTAACTGCACTGTAGCACTGTGGCACTGCCCTCCCGTTGTTCATCGATTTGCTCAAGCGGGCGCCAGTAGCGTCTAACAACAAATTGTGAGACTTGTTGTTACTGTTTTTGGCATATCGAATACGCCATGGGGAGCTTGCTAGGCTCTGCAGTGCGGGCGGATGCTCTCCAGTAGCTTGCTGGGTGGGCTGTTTGAGAGGGGCGGAGGAATCGAATGTGGGTTGGCTGCAAGCAAGGCAGATGCTCTACCTGCTGTGCTATCACTCCAGCCCAATAATGAATTGATTTTAATTAATTAATTATTTTAATTATTAGCTAATTAAAATAATTAATTATTTTTTATAAAGCTGTTCATGATTGGATTTCAGTCACAGTGTTCCAACACCCATCCCTCCACCATTGTACGTTTCCCAGCACCAGGTCCCCAGTCACCCTACCATCACCCCCCCACCGCCTGCCTGCCTCTATGGCGGGCACTTTCTCTCTCTCTCTCTCTCTCTCTCTCTCTCTCTCTCTCTCTCTCTCTCTGTCTCTCCTTTTGGGCACTGTGGTCATCACAACTTTCTTGAGAAAGGAGAATTTTAACATGTGCCCCTCCCAAACTGTCACTCCCAATGTTTCCCCCAACCCACCGCGTGGACCCACCTGTGCCTGGGAGGGGCCTGAGTACTCTGTGCTGAGGGCTCAGTGCTCAGGCGGAAAGGAGAGGCTGCCTCTGAAGCGGCCCTGAGTTTGAGCGAGAACCCTTCTCTGCATGTTCATGCTTGGCACAACTTTGACGAGAACGGGAGAAGCAAACCTGGGGTGTGTGGGGGGGCAAACCTCCCCTCGCAGCTGTCATCTTCTTTTGAGGCTCTGGTACAGACAGACATGCCTGCTCTTGAGACAATGGAAAGTCCTGGAGAAGAACTGGAGGGCAGGATGGGGGCCCCGGGAATGGCTGCGGGAGCCCCTCACCATCCCCGACAAGCGCTCCTCTACCCCAGCATGCCCTCGCCTTTCTCTCTCACTCTCTGGCTCTCTCTCTGGCTCTGTAGTCTCTCTTTGTCTCTGTTTCTCTCTCTCTCTCTCTCTCTCTCTCTCTCTCTCACTGCCTCTTTCTCTGTTTCTGTCTCTCTCAGTCTCTCTCAGTCTCTGTCTCTTTCTGTCACTGTCTCTTTCTCTCTGGATCTGCCTTTCTCTGTCTCTGTTTCTCTCTCTGTCTCTCTCTTTCTGAATGTCTCTTTCTCTGTCACTGTCACTTTCTGTCCCTCTCTCTTACTCTGTCTCTGTCACTGTCTCTATCTCTGTCTTTTCTCTCTCTCTGCCTTTGCCTTTCTTTGTCACTGTGTGTCTCTGTCTCCCTGTCTCTGTCTGTCTCTGACTCTCCCTCTGCCCCTCCATCTCCCATCTCTCTCCATCACACAGTTCTGGGAGCTCCTCTCCTCCCTCCTCACCGCAGCTTTGGGGGAATCCAGAGACGGCATCACTCGCCGTTACCTTTTGTCTGTTTGCTGTGGGACACTCATTCCCCTGGCCCACTGCGGCGCTTCCTCAGTTCAGGGCACCGGGCAGGCAGCGGGGCTGTACTTCCCCAGTGCTTTGGTCAGGGAGACCCTGGGTAACGGCCATGTCCTGCCAGCCGCTGCTGACAAGTGGCTTCCATTTGTCCCCCCACCCCTCTGGGAGCAGTTCCTGGAGCTGGCCCAGGGGGTCCAGCACTACGGGCACCTGCAGCTGGACCCCTGCACCTGCGACTTCCCGGAGCCAGGCTGCGCGGCTAAGCTGGCAGTGGGTGGTGGTGCCATCCACTGCCGGGTCTCCCTGCCTGACGGCCAGACGCGGGACGTCAGCTTCGAGATGAGCAGCCTGAGGTGTTGGCAAGTCGCCTTCCAGGTGAGTGTCCTGCATCCTGCCTGCAGCCCCTACTTAAAAAAAAAAAGACCCCCCTGTGGCCAGAGAGATAGTTCGGTAGGCAGGGCACTTGCCTTGCATGCAGCATGCATCGGACCCAGGTCAATTCCCGGCTTCCCATATGGTTTCCCAAGTACTGCTGGGAGTAACTTCTGAGTGCAGAGCCAGGAGTAACTGGGTGTGACCTCAAACAAACCCAACCCAAACTACACAAATGAAAAAGACACTGATGGTCTTGGAGGGAGGTACTGTCCTCTGAGTCAGGCCCGTGGTGACCTGGCAGATGTGCCACCTGTGGCAGGAGCGGTGGCACAGGCTTCCCGCTGTGGAGGTGGACAGAGGCCTGGGCTCCGGCCTTCAGCTGGCCACGCTCTGCCCTCCTGAGGCTGTCACCCTTGGAAACACAAGACTCTGACCAGTAAAGCCATTTTGGGTTTCAAATGTTCATTTCCAGCCCTTTCCTCTTCTCTGTCGTGCTGTGGGTTCGAGGCCTGGGGCATGCGTGGTCATGGTGCTCTGCTCTTGGCAGGGAGCTTGCCGGGGCACGTGAACCCACCCCTGGCTGCAGCCCCGGGGCTATGGGGACCAGAGCCAGTGCAATCGGGCAAACCTACTCACAGCTGCCGCTCGCAAGGCCAGTGGGGCAAAACCTTTGTCGGGCTCCCTGGGATCACACCGCCCCGTCCTGCCCCAAGAGGCCTTCGAAGCCCGCTGCTTGGCCGGGTGCTGAATTCGTGGGTCCCCTGTGAGCTGATGACATCATCCCTGTATGCCAGATCTGGGGTTAACCAGTAGACGACAAAGATTATAGCAAGAACAGGGCCCCGTGGGGAAAGCCTCAGAACATACCTGCATTTGTTAGCTGTCTCGGGACTAGGTGTGTGTGTGTGTGTGTGTGTGTGTGTGTGTGTGTGTGTGTATGCATATATAAGCATGCATGTATATACATGTGCGTATGGGTGTATGCATCTTGCGTATGTATGTGTGCACGTGTGTTGAGGGGCAGTGGGACTTGGCTCTGTCAACTGTTTCTCGAACCCCTCTCTCTCCTTGCGGGCTGTTTCCCCCACCCCTCCCTCCGAGGCCCACAGTTCCTCCTTCACGGCTTCGCCAGGCACCTGCCGACCTCCTCGGCCCTGGCCCATTCTGTACACTGTGCTTTTGTGGTGTCAATTCTCGGGAGTTTGTCAAGTCAACCGTAACATTTTTATTTTTCATGAGATTTGTATAGTTGTAGGTTACACCTTTAAGCTTGTAATTCTTATTTTGGTCAGTCGGTTTGTTTGTTTTGGCCACAGCCGGCCATGCTCGAGGCTTCCTTTTGGATCTTCTCAGGGATCCCTCCTGGCGCGCCCCGGGAAGCGAGTGTGGTGCTGGCATTGGCAGGAGGTGAGGCCAGTGCTCTGCCTCTGTGCTACCCACGCCAGCCCCTCTGATTCTAACGCTTATGCTGCGACGGATGGGTAGCTCAGAACAAGCTTCCCTTTTTAAAGAGGGCACCCCCAGCCGTGCCCAGGGGAGCCTGGGAATCCTTGGTGAGGTAGTGAGGGTGGATGGCTCAGTGCTTAGGGCTGGAGCCGAGATGCTGGGGCCCGTCAGCGCCGAGGGCGGTGTGGGGAGCCGGGCAGTGCCAGGGTCGGAATCAAATGCCAGGCCTGAACTTCGCCTCCTGGAGACACATCCCTGCCCCCTGCTCCTTTTCCAGGCCCACAGAAATCCAGCAGCTCCAACGCCATTAGTTGGAAGAAAACAAAAGAACTGTCTCGCCTCAAATGAATGGCTTCTGTACCCTAGTACCTCTGCTGTGTGTGTGTGTGTGTGTGTGTCCAGGTCTGGATTCCTTGTTTCAATCCATAACCCATGCAGCTGCCTCCCACAGCACCAGGGAACCACACTCTTCCCTTCTAAGGGTTAATAATTGAGATATGGTTCCCACGTGTTCAGAGTGACACAGCCCTTACTAAGACCAATGCTAGAAAACCTTCATCGCCTTCTTCATAAAGAAGCTCCACCCTTAGCTGTCACCTCCCTCTCTCCCCATTTTCACCTTCCCTAAGAAACCACTCCCCCCCTCCTCCTCTTCCTCCTCCTCCTCCTTTCTTGCTCTTCCCCTTCCTCTTTTTCTTCTGTCACACTCCAGAATGCTCAGGGCTTACTCCTAGCTCTGCCCTCAGGAGTTACTTCACTCCCGGTGGTGCTCGGGGACCATATGGGAGGTGGGGGCCGGAACACAGGTTGGCCGAGTGCGAGGCAAGAGCCCTCCCTGATGTATTATCAGATATTTCCCGCTCACGGAGTCCGGAGGAGGGATCTCTGGGGCTGGCTGTTCTTCCTTACGGTGCCCCTTTCAAACAGTGCTCTCCTTTTCATGGTCAGGAGCGCCCCATCGTATGCACATATCTGGTTTTGTTTATCTGTTCACCCCTGGATGGGCATAGGGGTTGTTTCTGTTTTGTAACTATTGGGAGTTTTGCTGCTGGGAATATCTGCGTACGGGTTTTTGTGAGGATGTATGTTCTCATTGCTTTGAGCTATGCACCTCGTGTGGGTGACTGGTAGCTCTCTCATAGTGGTACCTCTATACCCAACTTTTTGTTCTTGTTTATTTGTTTTTTGGGGGGTAGCACACCCAGTGGTGCTCAGCAGTGGTGGACTCGGGGGACCATGTGGGGTACATGGATTGAGCCTGGGTCGGCAGTTTAGGCAAACAAACATACCCGCTGTGTCATCACTGCCGCCCCTTGGTCCAACTTCACAGGAGATTCCAGCCTGTCTCCCAAAGTGTCTGCTCCGTCTTCCATACTGTCAGTAGGGGTGAGTGCAGTTTCTCTAAGCTCTTGCCAATTCTTCTTAGTACCCAGCTTTCTCACATACAGCCACCCTGAGCTGTGAATGGTGGTTACTGTTGCTCTGATTTCCAAGGTTATAGAAATCATAGTCTAGGGACTGCAGAGATAGTACAGCAGGTAGGGCATTGGTCTTGCATGAACTGACTGGGGTTTGATTCCTGGCATCCAAGATGGCCTCCCAGGCACTGTCTGGAGTAATTTCTGAGTACAGAGCCAGGAGTAATCCCTAAGCATTTCCTGGTGTGGCCCCCAAGCCAAAAACAAACATGAAGAAAACAAAGCTTCCTTGTGCTTCCTTTTCCTTCCACAGACCGTGCTCTTCTCCCATCCAGTGGATTTTATTTCTAAAGCCATTATTCACCACTAGCAGCTTCCGATGGGCCTTGCGGCCCTTCTCTCTCTCTCTCTCTCTCTCTCTCTCTCTCTCTCTCTCTCTCTCTCTCTCTCTCTCCTCCTCCTCCCCTCTTCTCTAAGTCCCCAACTGAGCGTGTGCAGCCACTCCAAACCTCTGTGTTCATGCCCATCACCTCTGGTTTCTGGGTCTTTCCCCTGTCTGCACAGTACGCTCCTCCTTGGCGTGCGATTCTGGGTGCTGCTGCGTTCTGGGCTGGGTTGTATTCCTTGAGGGACGCGAGCTCTGTGCTGGCTCTATCTTCCCCTCCTTTAGGAACTGGTTTACTTGGGGGAGGTTAGGCTGAAGCACTGCTGCAGTATCTGGAGCTTTATCCGTGTCAAGGCCCCCCTGGTTTTCCCACCCCCCAGATTCTAAGCCTAACACCTTCCAGCCTTTGTCATTCTCCTCTGCACGCAAGCCCTTGGAGCCCTTGACCTCCCCTCCTGTGTCCAGAAACTCCGAGTGCAGACCTCAGGGAGAGACGAAGGCCCACTGCACCAGACCGGTCTGGGGCTCAGTGTCAACAGCGCTGCCCGACCAATGTCTGTGAGACACACACTGAATTGGGGTCTTGTCTGAATTTTGAAGTCTCTTTGGTAAACTCCAGACTCTTGAGCTTATAAACCCTGTTTCGGGGCCAGAGCAATAGGACAGTGAGTAAGGTGCCTGCTTTGCATGGGGCAGATGGGGTTCGGTCCCCAGCATCCCAGGTGGTCCCCTGAGCACTGTCAGGAGTGACTCCTGAGTGCAGAGCCAGGAGTCACCCCTGAGCATTGCCAGGCGTGGTCCCAAAACAAAAACAAACAAAGCAAAACAGCTAATACCAGTGAAAGGGTGTGTGAAGGGGTGTGTGCATGTGTGTGTGTGAGAGTATGAGTATGTGTGTGCACGTACATGTGTGTGCAAGTGTGTATGCTCATGTGTGTGCATGTACGTGTGTGTGTGTGTGTGTGTGTGTGCATGTGTGTATAAGTACTAGGCTTGATGACAACGGCTGGGAACCTGTGCTCTGGCTCCCATAGGAGAGGCTCTGGACTGGCCCCCATGGGCAAACTGTTGTCCAGACTTCCTACAGTCGGTGACCCCAGGAGTCCCAGGGCTGGAATTCTCTCTCAGACCTCCACCATCGTGTGTGGTACTGAACACAGAGCTTGTGCCCACTTGTCAACCTGGATGCGGGTTACCAGTTGGCAAAGCAGAGCCCCCCAGTGCCCCCCTAGAGACTCCTAGAGGAATGGGGGGCTTCCCAGGACACGGGCTCTGTCACTAAGAATAAGCAGGGATGGATGCCAGGCCCCGGGTGCCCCCTGCAGGTTTGGGGGTCCTGCTCTACCTCCCTCTTTAATCTTCTTCTGCCCCCAACTGCAAACTGGGGGAGGGGACAGAGCATCTCCTGCAGCCCAGTAGCCCCCACCCTCCCAGGATCTCCCCTCCTGGTCTAGATGCATGGCTGGTCCCACGGCAGCCCACACAAACGCTTGCTAACACACAGCTCTTGGATGGGCCTGTGTCAGGTTTTGGGGTGCAGGGCAGCCCCTCTCTGGCCCATCAGGAAGTGCCACCTCCGTTTCTGCTGAGGTGCAAGTACTTTATTCCTTCCCTTTCCTTCCCTTCCCTTCCCTTCCCTTCCCTTCCCTTCTCTTCCTTTCTCTCCGTCCGTCCCTCCCTCCCTCCCTCCCTCCCTCCCTCTCTCCCTCCTTCCTTCCTTTCTTTCCTTCATTCCTTCTTATTGTCTCCCTTCACAGGGGATACTGCTGGCTACCGACGGGCCTCCGCGAGCTGTCCAGTACCCGGAGCTCCGGCTGCTGTACAAGGAGGCGGGCTGCTGGCGGTGGTTTGTTATCTACACCAGACAGGTAAGCCCCACGGACAGAGCACCAAAGCCAAATGATGGGTGTGGCTTAGTGTCCCAAGAAAATTCTATTTGCAAAACACAGGTGGGCGCTAGATAAGTTTGCCAACCTGGGTGAAGAGAACACAGACTTCTGTGATTTTTTCCAGCAAGAATACTGCAGGGGGATCATTGGCCATCTCTCCTTCTCTGAGTCTTCATCACAGGGGTAACAAACTCTGCCTTTCATGCATCATGGGGCTGGATGCTCCAACTGCAAAGCCTTCTTGGAAGGAAGCATTTAGCTGAGTGGAGCACAGGGTTCAGGCTCAGCTGAGAGTACCTGAGGCTTTGTCTGGGGCTGGGACTTTCACTGGCCAACAGAATAGTCTCTTTTTTAATTTTAATTTTATTTATTTATTTATTTTTTGCTTTTTGGGTCACACCTGGCAATGCACAGGGGTTACTCCTGGCTCTGCACTCAGGAATTACTCCTGGCAGTGCTCGGGGGACCCTATGGGATGCTGGGAATTGAACCCAGGTCAGTGTGTGCAAGGCAAACGCCCTCCCCACTGTGCTATTGCTCTGGCCCCCAAAATAGTCTCTTTGAGGCGAGTAGAAGGGCCGATGGTTGCGAACTCTCCAAATGTGCCATTGGCTTATACTTAGGATTGCAACAAATTCTTGGGGGCGGAGATCTAGCTTTCTAATTTTGGGGCGGGGGCAATACCCTGAGGTGCTCCGGGACTGCTCCCTTCAATGTTGGGGGGTACATAGTGATTAAACCCCAGCCTGGAGCACGAACTAACCTGCTCAGCTTTCGTGCCAGCCCCCAACTCTCATTTACTACACACCAAATCCCATTGAATTCTCCCTCCTCAGGGCTTGGGTGGGGAGTCATTCCCATTGGTGTTCCCAGTCCCAGTAGTGCTTGAGGGACCACCTAGTGCTAGGAATAGAACCCAGGGCATCAGCCCTTTGCACTAAGTCCATGGTCTCTGTGACATTCTTTTTACCGAACTCGATGAAGTCATTTTAATGTGGAAAAGAAATTACCGGTGTGCTAAAATGAAACAAAAAAATGTTTTGAAAATGAAAGTAACCCTGGTCCCAACATTAACCTGAGTCCTTGGTGGCTGTGCCAATTTCCACGGAGCCTTCTAGTCTTGGGTAACTAATGCCACCTTTCAATGGCCAATTTCTTCACATTGTCAGGTCTTAATCTTAATCATGGTCCTCTGACAGACTCCAGAGTTCTCTGAAAAACTTGCAGCACCAAACTTGAATCTAGTTGGAAACAATGGTGTGGTGGGTTTACCTTCCAGAGGAAGCCTCTTTAGGGGCCCGTGAGGAGGTTTACTGGGGTAAATTTGTAGTCCCTGGGAAAGACAGTGGAAGCTCCCCTTGAAGGCTAAGTGCAGTAGTTAAGTTTTATGATGGTTTTTTTAATCTCATCTGTGGCAAATGAGCTTCAACCAGTATTGAGAGGCGCCATAAACAGCCTTTTAAAGGATTCCCAGTAAGACCTTATTTCCTCTGGAATGTGGGTTTATTGATAGGGACCCACAGGGCTGCTTCTACAAAAGGCAGGAAAGCGGCTGGAGGGCTTGTAAATAGGAGTCAGGGCTGGGGTCCCCAACCTTTTCATCTCTTTTTGGCCCCTGAAATTAAAGCCCACTTCTTTCATTCGTGACCTGGTTTGCCTGCTGAGTCTTCTGTGAAAACTGTCTGGGACTGTGGAACCGGCCATTCTCGGGAGCCCCTTCAGGAGTCTTCACTCCCAAGATTCAGTGGCTCGGGATTCTGGCTGCATCCTGGCACTGGGAAGCATCATAGGCACAGGGCACTGGAGAGCACAGCAAACCCAGGAAATCCCAATCAGTCTTCGTGTCTCTGTTACTTGTGCCTCATTAGGGATTCCAACCTCCTTGCCTTCTCCCCCTTCTCTTCCCATCTTCTCTCTTTCCTCCCTTTCTCATCCCTTAACGAGACCGCATTCTAGGGTCCCTTTAGTCCTGTAATCTCTCTCTCCCCACCAGGCAGGGACCCTTTGGGGCAGAGTAAATGTCCCGCAAACTTGAGCTTCCATGGTCTCAACCCTTAGGACAGAGAGAACAAGGAACCAGCCAGGAAAGCGAGCCAGAGAGGGAAAGGCGTTTGTGGATTTGTGGCCAGGCCTCACACGAGGACACGGGAGGGGTTTAAATCCCTCCACACCTAGGGGTGTGGAGCCTGCAGAGAGCAAGATGTCAAGACTGAGTGCAGCACTGCACACAGAGACAAGCCCTGGCCCACAGGGGACACTTGGGGTCCCTGTGAGTCCTGAAAGTGAGCTTTGGAAGGTCCCAGAAAACTAAGCTGATGAAGCAAGCAGGCATTACGATGTTCTTTCAGACAGGCCGACTGTACTTACGAAAAGGCCTCTCAAGAAAGGTGCATGCTGTGGATTTAAAGTCAACCCTCAGTTGATTAAATTATAATCATGGGCCAATTTTAGACTTCCCACTCCTAAAACATGAGCCGACAGCTAAGTTGGAGAAGAAAAATGAGAGGCGAGAGGGACCATTTTATCGGGGAAAAAGATCCTAGTCATGTCTCTCTCTCTCTCTTTTTTTTCTTCTTGAATCACTGTGAGATACAGTTACAAAGCTTTTCTGTTTGAATTTTTTTCAGTCATATAATGAACGAACACCCAACCCTCCACCAGTGCACATTCTCTACCACCAAGGTCCCCAATATCCCTCCCCCCATCCCACCCCTTGCTCTGCCTCTATGGCAGACAATCTCGCCCATACTCTTTTGTATTGCTTGGTATGAATAGCATAAGATGTTGCGCAGCCACAAGAGCAGCCACACGCTCCTAGAATTCTAAAGTTTTAGATAATTAGGGTCACCCCAGTGAAGTCTGCCTACCTTAAAGTCCAGAGGATCTCTACAGTGAGTTGCTAAGTTCAGATCCTCTTGTGTGTCTTGGTTTATTTGTTTCTTTTTTGTTTTTATTTTTAAATTTTCTGCAGATGCATACACAGAATTGAGAAAATTTTGTGCTCCTTGTGTTTGATCCAATTGTGTAGAAGTTGAAGAAGTTAAACTGGAAGAGCATATCATGGCAGGCAGAGCTGAGAGTTGCTTCGGGGGTGAGCAGAGAGTGTGGGGCCCTCAGCTGGGCTGAGCGGCTGCTGTCTGTCTTCCCCAGGCTTTCTTGCTGAGTAACTGCCTGCAGAAGATGGTCTCGGAAAAGGCAGCGAAGCTGGCTGCAGAGGATTCAGAAATGGTGAGAACGCTTATCTGAGTGGGCGCGTGGGCTTCCCACCATGGCTCCACATCTCTGAGGATTCTCAGGACCCCACTCTGCCCAGTTCTCCAACTCAGAGTCATCCCTGGCTGCAGGGATCTCTCACCCTCCACTCTGTGTCCTGCTATGCAGCCATTGTATTTGGGGGCCACCCCTGACAGTGCTCAGGACTTACTCCTGGCTCTGCGCTCTGGAATCTCTCCTATATGGTGCCAGGGATCGGACCTGGGTCAGTCTCACACAAGGTAAGCACGGCACCTTCTGTGCTATCACTCTAGCCTTCAAATCAAACTTTCTAGAGGCCAGAGAGATAGAGTTCAGGAAACGGAAGTATAAGCCTTGCATGTACATGGACCCAAATTTGGTCTGTGGTACCAGATAACCCCCAAGCACCACTGGGTGTGGCCCTGCAACCACGTCCCCCCCTTCCCCCCCAGCAGTGCCAAGCCAGACTACTGAACCATGTGACTGGGTTGGCTGGACACAGTCAGGAATGACCCCTGAGTCTGAAGTAATTCTCCCTCCCCTGCCTCCCAACACACAACATTTTCTCTTCAAATCCACATCATTCCAATAAAGACCAAGTAACTCAGTAAAAGGGAGGGTGGCAGTTTTTCCAAACGGTGATGGAAATTGAAAACAATTCTATCTGCCTTGTGATTGTCACTTAAATATGCTCCAAATAAGAGAGAACAGTTTGAGTTTTAAAAACAAGGACATATTAATGCTAGTAGACATTTATAAATAGAATTCTTGTGTAGACTAACACAAATCTTTAAACATTCAACAGAAAATATTTGAAAAGTTTCCCTAATATTTTTGTTTCAATATAGTCCTTTCTAAGAAGAAAGATATCGTCTTTCAGTTGACATCAATCTCTACTTGACTTTCCAGCTTTTTTCCCCCCTTACTCAACACAGCTGACTTTCAGACAGGTTTCTTTTTTCTCTAGAATTGAAACTATTTTCCAAGGGAAAATAAAATTCACTGACCCTTGGCATTTCAACAGTTCCAAGTGTCCTAGAGGGGAACAAAGAAAAGGGACAAAGGAATCAAGGATGGTCTTTCTCAAGAGTAATGCAATCTGACCTCTCAGGCAAGAGAGAGTTCCTCTGTGGCTGTGATCATTATAGACTTTATAAAAAAGAGAAGAAAGGAAAAGTAACGAAATGAAGTGTCCCCATTAGAAGGGAGCCCTCTCAAATGAGGCTGAACTAAATGTAACCCACTTACTAGAGGAAATATTTGTGCAACGAATAGCTGAAGAATTTACTCCCTAAGAGAAAGGAGCCATCTATTCGATGCATTCACAAAAACCAACCAAACTATGTTAATCTGATTTGCCCACAAAATCTGTTTACCTCTGTGGCTGATAGTAAAGGGAGTATTACTAATACTCAGGTTGCTTTTTCCAAATACTCAACAAGTTTCCTTTCCCCAAATTCTTTACGTCTTCATTTATTTTAGTTTTTGGAAAGTTTATCTTCATCTGGAAAATTGGGTTTACAGGAAGATATTGTGAGCATCATCATATAATGCTCACTGGAATTTTATCTATAAAAGCCCTGGAGAAAATGGGATGCTGGACAGGGCATTTTCTGGTTTGATTTTGATCCTCTTAGAGAACATGGGAAGGGCAGAGAAGTTGAGAAATTGAATCAAATATGTTCCTTAAAGAAAGCAGATGCCCCCCAAAGCATGTTAGAAAGTGTTGTTTCATCCTAGCAAGAAAGGAGTGAGAAGAATGAATTGAATGTTGACTTAAAGTTAATTAGCTAAATAAGCTTTAGGCAAATGCTTTCAAAGGTAAGGTTTAAGACATTTATAAATAGATCATTAAAATTGGAGGCCAAAAAAGTGCACTAAGGAAAAATGTAAACACACAACAAAGCCATGTTGAATTTTTAAGGCTATATTAATTGCAAACCAGAAGGAAAAAGTGGTGTAACACTTTTTTTAGAGCTCTGCTCCTAGATAAATCCTAAATACTTTTTGTGGATATTTACTAGTTTTATCCAGAACAGATTATGAGGGTTATTTCAGTTGAAAATAAAATGTGAGACTGGAGAGACAGCATAATGGGTAAGGAGTTTGCCTTGCATGCAGCCAGCCCAGGTTCGATCCCCAGCATCCCATATGGCCGCTGAGCACTGCCAAGAGTGATTCCTGACCGCAGAGCCAGGAGTAAGCCCTGAGCTTCACTGTGTCTGGCCCAAACTCCAAAATAAATACAGCCTCATTGGGCAAGGAAAAACCAGTTCCAACTGAAATTGCTAAACATTTGTAGTGAATTCTATTTTATTTCTATCTGGGGAGGGGGAGGAGGAAGGAGACTAGGAGAGAACATTTTTTTTCTTTTTCTTTTTATTTATTTTTATTTATTTTTTTTATTAGTGAAACACCATGAGGTACAGTTGTAGATTTACAATTTTTTGTGCTTGGGTTTCGATTATACAATGATCAGATACCCATCCCTCCACCAGTGCCCATTTTCCACCACCATGGATAATATCCCCCCCACCCCATCCCCCCACCCCCACCCCTGCCTCTGTGGCAGGGCAATCCCCTATGTGAGAGAACATTTTTGAGAGCTCTCTCTCAACGTTTGTATTTCATTGCATAAGACTAACCACAACGCCAAGTTGTGAGAAGAAAGTGAGCGCCAAGCACTTCGGACATCGGCACATTCATTCACTAAGGTTTCGTAAATGATGTTGAGAAATGATGGTGCTCACCTTCAAGCACGAGAATCATTCCTGTCAAGAGTCACTGATGTGCAAGTGAAAACAGAGATAGATAAATGGGACTATCTTAAACTAAGAAGCTTCTGCTCCTCCAAAGAAACAGTGACCAAAATACAAAGACAGTCTACAGAATGGGAAAGGATATTCGCTGAATACACATCTGACAAGGGGTTGATATCCAGGATATACAAAATACTGGTTAAACTCCACAAGAAGAAAACATCCAACCCCATCCAAAAATGGGGCAATGAAATGAACAGAAACTTTCTCAAAGAAGAAATCCGAATGGCAAAAAAGCACATGAGAAAATGCTCTACATCATTAATCATCAGGGAGATGCAGATCAAAACCACAATGAGATACCATCTCACACCTCAGAGACTGGCCCACATTCAAAAGAACAAAAGCAACCGATGCTGGCGCGGATGTTGCGAGAAAGGGACACTCCTTCACTGTTGGTGGGAATGCCGACTGGTTCAGCCCTTTTGGAAAACAGTATGGACGTTTCTCAAAAAATTAGAAATTGAGCTCCCATTTGACCCAGCAATACCACTCCTGGGAATATATCCCAGAGAGGCAAAAATGTGTAGTTGAAGAGACATCTGCACTTGTTTGTTCATTGCAGCACTCTTTACAATAGCCAGAAACTGGAAGAAACCTGAGTGCCCAAGAACAGATGACTGGTTAAAGAAACTTTGGTACATCTACACAATGGAGTACTATGTAGCTGTTAGAAAAGATGAAGTCATGAAATTTACATACAAGTGGCACAACATGGAAAGTATCATGCTAAGCGAATGAGTCAGAAAGAGAGGGATAGACATAGAAAGATTGCATTCATCTGGGGGATATAAAGTAACAAAATATGAAATTAATACCCAAGAATAGCTGAGATCAACACCAGGAGAATTACTCCATAGCTTAGAGGCCAGCTGGGTATTCTAGGGGAAAGGGCAGTTCAGATAGAGAAGGGAGCACCAAATAAAGGGTGTTTGGAGGACCCTCCCAGGAAGGGAGATGCATGTCGAAAGTAGACTATGGACTGAACATCTTTGCCACTCAATGCCTCTTTTGCAGACCACAACACCCAAAAGGAGAGAGAAAACAAAAGGGAATGCCCTGCCACAGAGGCAGGGTGGGAGGAGGGGATGGGGGGGATATTATCCATGGTGGTGGAAAATGGGCACTGGTAGAGGGATGGGTATTTGATCATTGTATGACTGAAACCCAAGCACAAAGATTTGTAAATCTACAACTGTACCCCATGGTGCTTCACTAATAAAAAAAAAGAGTCACTGATGTGAGCAAGTCCACAGGTCAACAAGAACGCTCTTTACTTTGCCATCTCTCTTCTTCCATGTAAAAATGCCTTCCTCGCTATGCCAAACAACAATAACACCCTTAATTCATGAGTCCCTCCATCCTGTGTCTTTATTGCAATGGCTAGCAGCTAGCAACATAGTGGTGAGAAGCTTGCTTGGTGGATGAGAACAGCAATTGGTCAAAATATTTTTGCAGTTACAGACGGAGAAGTCAAGATGTATCCAAACCAACTTGTTGACTTTTTAAAATTATAATTCTTGTGGGGACCACACCTGACAGTGTTCAGGGGCTACTGTGCTCAGTACAGGAGCTCTGTGCTCAGCAATGACTCCTGGCAGTGCTTGGGGGACCATATGTGGTACCTAGGATCAGACCAGGTTGTTGGTATGTGAGGGCAAGTAGCTTCACTGTTCTGCTGTCTCTCTGACCCCCAAATGGACTTATTTAATAACCTTTCTTTGAGAGGCTGGGAAGTCACTTAGCGGCAGAGCACTTGCCTTGAGTGAGTGGGGCCCTCGGTCCAATTCCTGGCTTTGCTAAATGATAATAGCAACAACAACAACGAGTCACAATGATAATAATAACAGTAACTCTTCATAGGGGGTTTGGTTTGGGGCCACACGCAGTGGTGCTCAGAGGAAGCTCCCGACTCTGCTTGGGGTTGACTCCTGGTGCTCCATGGGCATCCAGCCCCGGGTTCCCACTGGCCAAGCGGGTCCTCCTGATCTTTGAGCCCAAAGACTTCGTTTCTGTAGGCGGCTCAGAATCCCTCTCCAGGGTCCGGAAGGGCCCAGTCATGGTCTGTGCTGATCCACCAAGGTCACTTCTGGGCTTGCACTGTGCTGCCCACCGTTGGGTGCCTGGGGGCTGGGTCTGACCTGGCTATGCCCTTGCTGTCTGGCCTCTGCCCAGCAGCTTGAGCAGAAGAGGAGGAAGCAGGTGAGTGTGCATTTCCCAGCTCCCTCCGCACACGTGTACTCTGTGGTTTCTCTCATCAGGACCAGTTTGTCCCTTGTGTGGTAGCATGGATGGGGGCTGCCTGCCACAACTCTGTGGAAGGGCTTCCTCGAGGACCCCTCTGCAGGTGCTCTGAGATCCGGGCCCTCATGCTCATTGGAAGTTGACCTGGAGCACATACCATCCAGGGCCTTGAACTTCAGCCTGGTCTCCACCTGACCCACGGGGCCTGTGCGTCCAGTGATGCTCCCCTGCCCAGCTGTGGCAGGATGGGGGCGGTACCAGGCACTATTTCAGGGTCTGGGGGACCCTCTTATTTCAGGGGCCCGAACATTCTTTTCATAGCCGTGGAAATCACCCAATCCCTGGGTGCCCCACACATCCCTGCACCAAGCCTCCCTTCTGGGGTCCCCTTGAGCATTTGCCCATGAAGGGGAGGGGTGCAGCGGGACCAGGAAGAGATTTGTGTGGGCGAATGTCCTCATGAAGTGGGGTTTTCTGTATGCTTGCCTCTGGCACCTGCAGACTGACCCTTTCACTGATTTCTTTAGCAGATTGAAGACCCAGGACGAGGCAAAGGTCAAAAGTGCTGCATTCTCCCAAGTCCAAACTGGGTGTGTGAGTCTCCCTGGGTGACAGATACATTTGAATGGGGATCAATCTGGCCAGTCTTTCCTCCTCACCCACTTCGTCCCTGTCCCCTATCTTATCTTACCTCCTACACACACACACACACACACACACACACACACACATACACACACACCTCCTACACACACACACATACACACACACACGGAAACCAAGTCCTTTTGCTTTATTTATGTGGGGGGGAGGGTTGGTTGGGAGTGGGGTGCTCACAGGTTACTCGTGGCTCTGTGCTCAGGAAGGACCCCTCGCAGTTCTGGGAAGGCCATATGTGGTGCCCAGGTGGGAGCATGGCCTTACCTCCTGCCTCTGGCTATCTCTCAGGTCTGTCATTCGTCCGAAGAAGCCAGCATGGCTGCGGAGGATCAATCTGTCCCCAGTATTCTAGGGAGTACCCAGAAGGACCAGGTGGCAGCTCAGAAACCATCATTTCTAGCAAGCACCCCTGGGGTTCTGAACCCTGAACACCCCAAACCCTCCTGCCCCAAATAAATAGAATAAAATAAATGAGCATTTCTTTAACAGAGGTTCTTTATTTTATTTAATATTTATTAATAAATATTTAGCAGTTATTATAATTCTATTATTATTGAGAAAACTGTTGGTAGGCTTTTTAAATATTCTTTTAGCCCCCATGACTATTCAGTTTTTCTGAAGATAGTCTCTTGCTTGTTTCTTCTTATAGACTTTTCTGTTTATTTCACAACAGAAAAATTACTCTACTTCTCGATCAAGGAAAAGCAAGGTTCTCACAGCTTCTGCCAACTGTGTTTGGGGGACCATAATGGAGGAAGACCTTTGAAGAGAAAGTCTCACTTCTCACCTTGCCTCTGGGGCTCTCTCTCGACAGTGGAAGGGCATGGATTGATTTTCTGTGGCTGCTGTGTGGAATCTGACTTAGCCCTTTGTTGGGCATTAATGTGACCCAGGTTCGTGATGACAACCTCAGAATTCTGTTCATTGCAAGATTAAAACTAAGTAAGAGCCCAAGGTACCCTTTGAGCTGTCAACATTTCTTCGACAAGAAGTGGCTAGTCCAAGTCAATTAATAAGAAATTCTTTCCTCCCTCTCCCCCCAAATAGATGTTTTAACTGGACTTGTGAGTCTGACGTGTTGTATGTTGTATGATCTCCATTGGACACGAAGGAGAGGCATAGTAGGAATCGTTAGAGCTGGGTTTGAGATCAGGGCTTGGGTTGCAAAGCTGTGCTCTTCAGAGGGGGAAAATGTGGTTACAAGCAACGGAACCCTCGAAGAAAAGAAACTTCACCACCACAACGGCCATTGCCACCCGCAGCAGGAGACGCTGTAAGACTGATTTTTTCTTCGTGGGGGCCTAAGGCTACTGACATAAATGGGCTCCACGTACCAGGCTGCCCACTAGGGCTGTAGCCTGTCTCGAGAATCCTCAGTTCAGTTCAATAATCACCTTGCTCTTTTGCATTGTCTTATTTGGGGGTTGTATTGGGTCCAAGAGACCTTTGAAGTCTCTTTACTTTGAAAGTCTGATTACTTTTTGGTAAACTTCTCCTTATCTAGTTTTAGTTCATCCTGATAATCTAATAACCCAGAAATAAGACATCAGTATGGGAGAGGGACAGAGAAGTGTATGTAGTCGAAGTGTTGCTTTATTTTCTAACTGGCTGTATGTTTATATAATAACTATGACACATATTCTGTTTTATTTTTTTGCTCTTTTTGGGTCACACCCAGTGATCCTCAGGGGTTACTCCTGGCTCTGCACTCAGGAATCACTCCTGGCGGTGCTTGGGGGACCATATGAGATGCCGGGGATCGAACCCAGGTTGGCCACGTGCAAGGCAAATGTCTTACCTGCTGTACTATCACTCTGGCCCTTGACATATATTCTAATGAAGATAGGATTTATTGATGAAAATTCTGTGAATGATCTTTTAGGTTTTTGAAATATATTAAAGCTGCATTATATATATATGGAGAGGCATAGTATATATATATGTATATATATATATATATATATATATATATATATATATATAGCACTGTCGCACTGTCCTCCCATTGTTCATCGACTTGCTCAACTGGGCACCAGTAACATCTTCATTGTGAGACTCGTTGTTACTGTTTTTGGCATATCGAATATGCCACAGGGACCTTGCCAGGCTCTGCCATGCGGGCGGGATACTCTCAGTAGCTTGCCGGGCTCTCCGAGAGGGATGGAGGAATCGAACCCGGGTCAGCCGTGTGCAAGGCATACACCCTATGGCTGTGCTATTGCTCCACCCGTATGTATATACATTATACACACACACACACACACACAAGTAGATATATCAAGGCCTCTAGTCCTACCTTCTAGTGTATTTCCAGACGCAGTGGGAAGTTTTTGCAGGGGGGTACCGCAATCCTGAAACCCATGGTGAATGCATCTTGGATCAGGATGCATTTCCAGATTCACATTCACTCTGTTTCTTTGCTAACTAAAAGTGGCTGAGGCCGATTTCCTTATGCATAAATAAAGCTTCCATCAAGTACTATAGAGAATTTGTATTTGTGGTAGAAGTAGCATATATGTATTGGGTTAAACCATGTCCAATGGCTAATTTGTAGCAAGAAATAGTTGGGTGTAAAAAAAAAAAGAAAAAAATAGTCAGGTGTTGTCAATTTCACATTTTTGAGGGGTGGGACCTACCTGGGGGTGCTCAGGGTTTATTCCTGGCTCTGCTCAGGGATCCAATCCAGATGGATCATGTGCAAGTTAACGTCCTTCCTGCTGTAGCATCACTCTGCCCTCATCGCATTTTAATTTGATACCTAAGAGAAGTCCCTCTCGGAGAGCCCAGCAAGCTACCAGGAGTATCCCGCCTGCACGGCAGAGCCTCGCAAGGTCCCCGTGGCATATTCAATATGCCAAAAATAGTAACAACAAGTCTCACAATGGAGATGTTACTGGTACCTGCTCGAGCAAATCTACGAACAACGGGAGGATGGTGCTACAGTGCTACCTAAGAGAAGGAATTTACAAAAGCGATTTCATCTCTGTGATCTGCAACCCCCCACAAAAACAAGTTAAGTCAAGGGAGAGTGAGATATATTGTGCTGTCTCTTGTGACCCCCCAACAAGATGTGCTGAGTTGGCTTGAAGAGGCATCACAAGGATGAAGGCACATGCTTCCATGCAGCTGAATCCCATTCGAATCACCAGCACCTCAGGGCCGCCCAAGCACTGCCATGAGTGATCCCTGGGCACAGAGACAGGAGATATGTTGAGTTAATTTAGAAAAGAAATGCTGGCGAATGCAGGAGACGAATACTGGGCCTGAAAGACCGTACTTGCCGCTACTGTGTTAAGATCCTTTGCTGATGAGTTGCTTTGCGGTAGCTATTCATCATGTTCATCTGAAGTAAGTCTTTTCCATGACAGCTTTTTCTGTTTCTTTTTTTCTTTTTTTGCAGAGATGGGCTGTTGGTAGAACTGTATAGGGATGCTCTGGATGTCACTGGTGGGCTTGGTAACCTCCATAGCGTAGGGTCTTCAGCCAATGGTCAAATGGCTGTTGGCATCGTACCCTAAGGTTGAAGTTTAGGTGGCTGTGAAGGGATTCTAGTGGCTCTGTGCTGGGTGTGCACCGAAGGAGTGTTCTCTCCTGGTGATGTGGGAGCACACTGCTGGCTGTGCCTCCCAGGGGCCTTGCTTCGTTCCTGTGAGCGCATGCTTGATGGGCTGTGCAGGAGATTAGACTGGGAAGTGTGAGTTGGCTGTGCTGTCTGCACAGGTACTGAGCTTCCAGGGGGCTCCTTCCTCTGTGTGTGTGCGTGTGTGTGTGTGTGTGTGTGTGTGTGTGTGTATGGGGGAGGGGTTCCCAGTGTCAGAGACGGAATCTAGGGAGAGAATGTCAATCTGTCCTAGGTCATAGCCCATGGCGGTTCAGGGTTTGCTTTTCAGTGTCACCGTGGTGGTGAGTGAAGCCAGGAGGGGAGTTAGTATGCCCGTGGGGTGCCTGGGCAGCTCTTGGTAAGTTATTCATCAGCCAGAGTTCTGGAGTGTGGATCCCGCTGCTGCATCTCTGGCACCACGGGCATGGCTGAAGCATAGAGCTAACAAGAGTGCGGACTCAGGCAGGCAGGGAGAGTTGGCACACTCCCCTGCCACTTGGATTGGCCTGTGCTAAGGAAACAAAACAGAAAGATTTTATATCAGGTTGAGCATTTGTGTAATGACTAAATGTGAATCATAGTGCAGAAATGAGCTTTTCGCAGGTTACTGTTCATACCACGTGTGTATGTCAGAAACAGTCTTTTGCAACTAACAGTGGTTATTGGAGTCTTAGAGCTTCTAGACAGGTAGCGAGTGAAGAGCCGAGCCAGTGTATTGATGAGTACTGACGGCAGGTTCTTCAGGTGTTCAGGTCTGACCTTGTCTGGGCCGGGTGCTGTTTGCTTCTTTACTGACGAAATGGCGTGTCGGATTTCGGAAGGGAGAACGTTGGGAACGACATACCCATCCTGTGGAATTTGGTATGTCGGCAAGTGGACATGGCTATCGAAGAGATTTGAGTAGAAGTCATGGATAATCTTCTCCATTGCCGTTCTGGAGGATGTGATGGATCCATCAGGACGTCGGAGGGCAGTCATCTTGGTCTTATAGTTGGCGAAGGACAGGCGGGCGTTACGAATACTTTTCCCGGCTTCTGCCGCATCTACCAGTACTTCTGCTCTTCTCTCTTTGAGGTCTTCCTTGATCGCATCTCTGCACTGCTTTGCAAGCTCGGACGTTAGCTTGCGGTTGCCTGAGGCATGCGCCAAACCACGCTGGCGAATTAGCTCAAGAGTTTTCGAAGATAGGCGACTTTTTGTGGCTACCTCTCTCTTGGCATTCCTCGCACATTCATGGAGGTGCTGAACCAGTCGATCGTATTCCTCGTCAATGTTGTCAACAATGGCATCTTCCCATGTTGCCGCAATAGTACCAAAGAGTTCCCAGTTGGTGGTCGTTCTGGGAGTTCTCTTTTTGAACTTTGCAGCCCTTTCTCCCCGCTCTGTGAAGTAGAATTTTGCACGAAGGAGACGGTGGTCCGATCCCGTTCGAAATTTTGGGACAACAGCGACATCAGTCAGGCAAAACCGTCGATTGAATATGATGTGGTCTATTTCGTTGTGGAATCGTCCACCGGGAGACTCCCATGTCCATCGTTTAGATTCTGCCTTCTGGAACTGTGAGTTACCATGAATGGTCTTGGTCGACATGATGAACTCAGACAGTCTCTCACCCTGTTCGTTCCATTCTAGGCCATGGGTTCCGATGTGAAGTTCTTCAGCTGATCTTCTCGGTCCTATCTTGGCATTAAAATCACCCACAATGATCTTGTAGAAGGTGTGGTCTTCTTTATAGAACTTCTCTAGCTCCATGTAGAACTTCTCGATTTCTCTTTCATCATAATGAGATGTTGGTGCGTAGACAACGAAGATAGAAACTGCAGGCAGTGAGCCACATCTATTCAAATGAGATTTAAAGACGACCGTTGGACTAGAGCTGTTACTGATTGGATTCCACGGGATGTCAAGAGACCGCGTGGCCGCCCACCTACCAGATGGTCAGACTTCTTTGTCAAGGTCATGAACGATCGGTTTGAGGCCCTCCATGTTCCCGGAGCGAAGAGATGCCATTGGGCTACACTAGCACGCGACAGGGACAAATGGAGACGTTACTGGCGCCCGCTCGAGCAAATCGACGACTAACGGGAAGTTAAGTGATTAAGTGATTAAGAGCTTCTAGAGCTGATTTTCTCTGGTTCTTTTCATTTGCCAAGTTAAAACACAGA